TTAAATGCGCACATATAAATAAATAAATAAAATAATTAAATAATTAATTAAATAAATAAATATATATATATGTACTTAACGATGTGATGTTACACACACATACATATGTAATTACATAAATTATAAATATATTATGTTCATTATCATTATCATCGTCATCATTATCATTATTATTACTATATATATATACATATGACATAATACTGATCTCTATATAGACACCTGTAAAATACCAAATCTTCGAGGCTGTCGCACCAACTGAGGATCGCAGCAAACGTAGCGCTTGGAAGGCCACTTTCGGCAACCGTGTGAGGCTCAAAACACCTACCAGGTGCCCGTGTGTGAGGCTCAAAACATTTCAAAACACCTAGCAGGTGCCCGTGTGTCTCTGGACCCTGTAAAAAGTGAAAGGAGACACATGAGAAGTCGAATCATTTGATTTATATATATTAATTATGTTTATTTCACCAAGAGCAACTCTGTTGTGTGTGCCACACTTTTGGGGCAAACCCCCAAAACTTTTGGGGCAAACTCCCAAAAAGAGGCATTTGGTATGTTTTCCCTTTGATGCCTAAGTCTTTCAGATTGACAAAAAAGAGGGACACTTATTGATACCTATTGAAAGGGAAATTGACAGTGTAAGGATGGGATTGAAATCCGGTGCCGCCTTTGTTGTTCAGACCCCTGGGCCGATGCTCATCGTTGGAGACGGCCCGATCAATGGGGATGTCGGCAAACTGCCAGAGAGCCAGGCCGGCGATCTTCGAGTTGGTGAAAATGGACAAGTAGTGCATCTGCATCAGAAGACCTCCAGTTTTGGAATCTTATGGAGAAATCATAGTTCATTTGATAACTAAGTTGACAGCTGATAAACCATTTTGCCCGGAGAAATTATGATTTCATAACTGGAATCATTTTTTCTCAAAAAATACTTTCTTCGAGTGATCCCCGCCACCTGAAATTCTATCTGATCTATTCTGACATCTATCCGGTATTCTATCAATTCTATCCGACATATATTCTGACATTCTATCTGACATTCGTGCCCACTGAGCTCTGGCGCTCGCGGTTGAGGTCCGGCAGTGCCCACTGAGATCTGGAAATCACGGTTGACCTGGAGGAGGAGGACGAGGAGAAGGAGAAGGAGAAGGAGAAGGAGGGCGGGATGCACCTCTGATAAAATCTAGAGACCCTCACCTGGGAGGTGGGGAAAAATGGCTTTACTAAATCTAAATGATCTGGAATGCTTGGGAGGGCCAAAGCTTTATCATCGGGCTGCAAGGTACTAAGGAAGTGATCAACCTCTGCCGCTTCGTCAAGGGTGATGATCTTCTCTTGTTCTTTCCTGTATTGATTGGTTGTCTATTGCGTTGTACTCCAACCCACCAAGATTCAAGTCGAACAGTTATCATTGGTTGTCATCCCTTTTATATCATTTTTTATCTATGTTTTTGCTTGAAATCTTTTCTCCACTGCTATGGCCGCTATATCTTCCAGCAAATTCAGATAGATATAGGAAAGCTTCTGCTTTCCTAAGGAACTGAATTAATTATATATCATTGTATATCTGTAAGGTTCTAGTGATATGTTTTACATATCATTTCGTCATATTTCGTTCATTTTTCCGGAGGCTACAGCCACCAAAAATGACCCGCCCCTTGCAACGGCACTTTGATACTCCTCCGTCCACTTCTCCTCGCTGGGGCCGTGCAAGGCGTAAAGGCCACCAGCACCGGCCTGACGAGATGCTGAAGATATGGGGAATCTATGGGGAAGATGATGGGAATATGAACCAACATATGGGATTCTCTTTGGTCGATTTTTTGCGATAGATTCATAGTCCATTAAACTTGCCCAGCTGAATGATAATAAACCTTATTACAGTAACCTCAAAATAGCTGAAACTTGCGGCCATTTGGGGATGATTCCCCGTATGTCAACCATCATTCCAGTCACTTCACTTCATAGTGAATTCTAAAATTCATCCATATACGGATTAAATTAATTAATTATATATAATGCATAGCAACCACCAAAAAGCCAAAAAGATAGAGAACCAATTGAGAAACACAAACTGAATCTAAAGTAGTGATGGCTTCTTTGTTCTATCAATCTGTTTCGGGTCGCTGCAAGATGGGTCAACAAACAGGGAGATGTACCATCTCATTTTCTGGAATGAGGATGGGTCAAGACGCATGAAAGAACATGGGCCACTTTTATACGCAAGAGCTATTTCTGATCATTAGGATTGAAGGATCTTTTATGGAGCCCGCACTTGTGAAACACAAACAATAACTATGTTGCTGATCCAATGTCTCCCAACTTGAGCGATATTTCATATCCCAATATGGTCACACTATGTCACACTATGTCACATACCCCTAGGCAATAGGACAATATATACACATATCACATTCCCATGTAGTTTCCCATAAGCCTAAAGATGTTCCCCCAAATTTGCTATATTTACATTTAGTATCATTTAATCATATGGTCCACCCCCCATAGGCTGTGCTGCAGGGGTCTTGCCTCGGTGATCAGCAACGGCTTCTCGGGAAAGGCTTCCTCCACATATCGGCCGTAGGCCTCGGGGGGATCCTACTGGGAATACAATTCCCGTCACCGGGAATGGGTTCAATCAATCGGTTTATGATTGGGTTTACCTTAAATTAGTCCCAAACTGATGAAACTCCATCCAATTCTGATTTCCAAATGTGCACATTTCTGGCTCCTAAAAACCTCCTACTGATCAAATAACATCTCCGCTATTTCGGAATATTGCGGATCTAAATCCTCACAAAGTGAATCCCCATGATCTTCGCAAAAGACTGGCCGCAAAACCACATCCAAACATTGACTTCAAAACGACGCCCAAACTGGCCGCAAAACCGCATCAGATTGTTTTCTGATTGAACACATAATCTCTTGACTTCGGTGCATGACATCACCACCATTTCCGGTCGTTTGGGCCTCCCAAATCAAGGGAATTTGCTTCACCTCCTCCATGTTCCCAGGTGAGCTAGTGGGATACCATGCAGGGTAGTGATGAAAGGAGCACACGTCAGCATAGTGCAAATACCTGCGCCGAAGTGAAAAAACTCTCGGGATGTGCACCTGGGACCTGTTCCTGAGATGTCTTTGGTGGGATTCTACAGTGAGATGTGATCAAATGTCACTGCATTGGCTGATGAAAATATGTTTGAATCATGTTGAATTCATTGGCCTTGGTGCTTGATACTCCATTGGGCCTCAGCCCTAAAACATTTCCCTTGCAACCATCTGCAGTCTTTGTAACTTTGGGCATGGAAAAGACACGCTTCCTGAAAATTTTGCGCATTCTTGCGCTATGTAAAGACAATAAAGTCACTGAGGACCCGCCAGGCTAACACGTCGACAGGTCTCTGCAAGTGAAACTCTGAACAAAGTTACAAAGAAGAGAGGCAATCGGAAGCAGTTTGACACCAGCAAAATGATGGACACAATTTAGAATAGTTAGAAACAAGACATTTTTCTATTTCGAAGCAGTTTGAGACCATTAGCCATGTAACATCAACATATCTTCACATCCGATGCGGGCATTCCCGCCTGTCGCTAACGGTGGCGGAGGAGCCCCAACTGATGAGCCTGCTACCTTTCGACCTCTCACGAAGCCGATTCGCCATACCTCGACCGAGAGGCCTTCTATTGAAATCTACGGGTTTCCATGGGAAACAAATCTACAAACTGGGGTTTTCATGGGTTTTCCATATCTATGCCATTTACTCAAGGACATAATTGACGCACAATCCCTGACACCAGAAATGAATTGCTGCATAAATGATATTAAATGATCATAAATCCTCCGAAAGTGCAGGCTCGTTATTAGATTTATTAGTTTTTTGTGTTCCATGCCAGTAACTACTGGTGTTTTGTTTCTGGACTCTTGGAATTTCCCTCCGCTACCCACCCGAACCTCTGAATTCCCATGAAATCCCAGATTTCATCCGGCAAGTTAACATTGCTGTGGAACATGACCCATTTGGTTCATTGATTAACCAATAATGGGTACTTTCCATAGCTATATCCAATTAGCAAAGGGTAAGGGGTCGAGGAAGCCCTCTGGGGCGTGTCAAGATCTTCCCATGACTGGAGGCCGCCCAGTAGCTGCGGTATGCGTTCTCCGTGGCAGGGCTAGGGTCATCTGAACGGCCTCCGGGGAGCGGTCCCAAAGGGGACTGCTCAGCCATGAGGTCGCAATGATCCTGATCAATGTTGACCCTCATCGTCTTTAAGCTTGAATACCCAGCAAATGACAGATACAGAGAAAAATATGTATATATATATATATATAATCACGACCCTTTTAAGCGGGGGACGTACCCAAAATGTAAGCTACATTTTTTCAAGGTGTTTTTGAGGGGGGCTTGAAAATGTAAGCTTACATTTTGAAGGTATTTTGACAACTCTCCCCACAAAAACGACACCTGGGGGACGTTCAGCGACCAATTTTACATTTAAAGGGGAGGTCCCCAAAAATGTATCTTACATTTTTGGTATGGTGCCCCTTGAAAAGTAGCCGTGATTATGTGTATATATATATAGAGAGTATACACCCATATATCTATATATATATATACAGTATATAATATAGCAAGATGATGGAAGATATGTCTCTCGGGTAAGAGGCTCTCAACATCACCTTTAGGGTCCAGCAGGTACTGGCGCTTTGAGGGGATCGAGGATCTGATTGGGAGCGTCCTCCGGGTAAACAAATACATACAGATACCCTATAAACATATGGCATGGCATAGGAACCCCAAACAACATCCAGGGCAGTCTTGAGGCAACATAGCTGTGTGAAATTCTGGGGGTGATGGTGACAGGCCTTTGGACCCCCTAGCCCTGGTGTAACTTTTGAAACTGCCGATCCTCCAACTGACCATGGAAAATCCATGAAATCCACCAGTCATAGATGATTTACATCATGAACATGATGAACATTTCCAATGTCCTGAACAAATAGTTTGTGCGCGGGTGAAGCCCGAACAACGGCATTTTTTTGAGCCGTTCAAGCGCCAAAATCCCTCTGCGAAGCTGGAGCTTTGCTCACGGTCTCCGACTCTTCCCATTCCTCGTCGAAGGACTCCCAACGCCTTTCAAGCTCCTCGAATGCGGCATCGATCTGCCCACTTGCGCAACCAAGCGACCCACAAATGGCTGGTCATGTTTAAATCATGTGTTGCATAAATCCATCATAATCCATCCCTATTTTGGTTCGGAATTTTGACTTCACTATGTAATTAAGGGATGTTAAGGAGTGGTGCCGATAAACCCACCGGATGATTTCTGGGTCGCCCAAAATATCATTGGGTTGCTTAATCATTGTAATGGGATGTGATGTAACGGGTATACTACCTATACTTTCAAAGAAATTATATCTATAACTCTATAACTCTATAATCCATGCCACTATGCGAAACCCTGACACCAGCCAGCACAATGGAATTCCAAAGATGAAACAGGCATTGCTCATTTGAATTCAGTTGACTCATCCAACCAAACTTTCAAGCTTACACCTGGGACAATGGTTTTTCTTTTTCCATGTTTTTTCATGTTTATACTGTTTATACGTTAAAACCTCCAGTTTCAGGTGTCTTAACCGCCCACTGTTGATACTTCAACCACCATTCGCCGTTGGTGTCATCCTCGTCACTGAAGTCTTCGTCCTCCATGGCTTGAAAATCTGCGACACTGCTCTCACCTTCGCCTCAGTCAAGGGGCCATAGTCCTGATTTTGTAGCTGGGCTCTGAGCTATAAACATCTATGGGGGCTATATCTATATATACATAGATTTGAATACGCATTATACACGCACACACACACACATATATATATAATATATATATATATATACACATATACTATTATATCACCATCAAAATTCAGAAACCCAAAACCACCTTTCCAATATTTTCCAATCCTTTCCGATCTCACGATCCGTTCCGATCCTTTTTGAACTATCACCAGCGAAGTCACTCTCCTCATTCAGATCTTCTCCCCACTTGTCATCAAAGTACTTCTCTCCATCGGCCGTCTCTCCGGGGTCGTAATCCGTATCCTCTGCCCACTCCTCACCGTCGAAGCTCACGGCTTCCCGAGGAGCATTACCTGGGATGTGCACCCCATTTGGGACATCGGTGCAGCATTTTCCCAGGATTGACATTCAATTGGATGATAGCTGGCACATGTTTGAAGGACAAACTCATCTATTTAAAAAGAAATAGCTGGGGCTTATCTCAATAATTCATGGCTGGGCTTATCCCATAAATCGGAAACCATGGGTTGCACGGCCAAGGGTCATATGAGTTGACGCTTATGCAAGATTGGACATGCGTTTTTTTTTGCCAGCAAAATAGGGACTCTGATTAAATCAAGAACAAATGGGTATGTAATGTTTGTAAGAAGAGCTATAATATTAAATTTAACATCCAAAAACAAATAGACAAGTACATTCCCACTATTTTAGTGGGAGGTTGGTTAAATGTGTTGAACATCAAGCGTGTTTGCTTCCCCTGGCAACATCTTTTGCCATCGCTGCCAAAGGTCGGTAGTCGGGGATCTCCAAGAGATCTGAGAGCTGAGGACCCTTGGTCGCCTGGAGTGGGAAAAAACCTGCAGGAACCCGTCATTTTTTACCAAAGTTTCAAGGAAAATCTATAATCTTAACCATTGGTTCCCCATTGGTTTCCTGTAGAATCCCGCAGGTTTTTCCTTGATCCTTGAAGTCTTGTTCAAGATGTGAAGTGGGAAGTCGTACAGCAGCTAACAGGCAATTTTGGGGATGTGATTGAAGAAAGAATGGCAATAATGGGGACAAACCTGCGAGAGAACATTGAAGCTGCAGCTAGCACTCACAGATACCAGCCCAAATTGGGCACCCAAGCATGCTGAATACCAAACGTTGGCAAACCACTTCTATTATCTGATATTCACAATCGCAACAGTAATGCATAACACACATAATTACCCATGAAAACGAACCGCTTGCAGTTTGCACATGCTAGGCACATGATCTGGGCAAAACCCCTCTGGTTGTGAGGGAGAAACCGGAATTCATATAGCCAACCGTACCTGCGTGCCTCTGGTCCCATGGTTCTCAGTCTCTCCAGTTCTTTTCGAGCAATGTCCTTCAGCGATCCACGAGTCGCGTCTGGACTTTGAGACTCTAAATGGACAGTTCGAATCCCAGATCATCATAGATCATCATATACATATATATATAATTATAACAATAATATACAATAATTATATATATATAGATAATGATATAAATATGTATATATATATAATTAAATAAATATGTATATATATATATATCATGTATGATGATCATCATAGATCATCCATGTGTGTGGTGCCCTTACCTCCAGTTGATTCCGGTGCCAAACATGGAAACAACGGCCCTGCGGGTGCCCCCGGCAGGTGCCCCGGCAGTCCTTGTGCCGCCGTCCTCGCGGTGTTTCCGTCACCGACTGCCAGATCTTGGACCAAAGGTGATCCACACCACGCAGACTGCGTGCGCTGGCGAACATGATGTCCACATCACCTAGGTGCTGCAACGCGTTACCCTGGCGAACATGACACCTCTGTTTAGGGTGTGTATATCTTTAGCATGATATATCAAAAGTTCTGGTAATGTGTTAGTGTGAATGGTGTTTAAGAACCAGCAAACATGTCACTGAAGGGCACCAAACCAGCCAGTGGGAATGGCTTCATCCCTCTCCATAAAGGGCCCCATCCAAGTGACAGTATGGTGCCAGTTCCTCCTTGATTCGCTTGGCTGTGCTGTTGGCAACGGCTCTTTTGCAAACATCGATCTTGGTAATGACCTAGTTGGGTGAGCCAGAAAGTCGTGCAATATATCACTGAAAGGGTTGGGATAACACATATTGTAAAATTGCCAGCCGGGGTTCATCATTGCTAGTTGCCGGTCGAAACGTGTAGACAATGGTATCCACAAAAATGAACAACCATTTCTACATACAAACAAACAAGTGATGACAAAACAAAATAGAATTAACGGACTCGACGTTCAGAATATGACTGGCGCAAATCCAATCAACATATGCAGCGCGTATATGCATACACTATGTTTATATATAAGACTTTATCAGACCACATTTTTTTCCGAACATCATTGAAATTGCTGGCTCGGTCAACATCAATATCAATAGTGCACCATCCAGTGACGATTGTATAGCGCACGGATCGTCGCTGGGCTTTGGCCAACAGATGCAGCAGCTGCTTATCGCCCGGGAGCAGTTTGTGATTTCGAGCGTCCACCAGGTGGAAGACGTGCCTCGAATGTGCACCGGTCATGCGGGTATATAACGGTACGGAGTGACCATGGTTGTTCCCCAGTTGTATTTGGGATATCATAAAATACTGTATATAAATGTCATTATCCGGCAGCCCGCTGGGTTGCATGACTTAGGCTACAACCACGTCCATTAGATGTTATTATCATTTATTGCCCACTTGCCAGCAATAAATGAAAAAGCATCAAGCGGTAGAAAGGTAGCAAGTGGAGGGGGTCCGTTGAACAAATGTCCATATGACTTGATCACATTTTTTCTGTCAGCCCCTGAATGCGGAACTCCATCAGCAACAATGAATCGCCACCCAGGTACTTTAACGCCTCTCGATTTCGCAAGTAGTCCTTGGTCTGACTGATTCCACATGGCATAACTTTGCACGAAAGAGTCGAAAGTGTCCAGCTAAACTATGCAAAAGTGGAATCAGCAAGTTAAACCCCTGTGTTTGTCTTTCCTTCAGTTCTCTCCTCAATTGATACATGGGATATGGGGATTTAAAGGAACACTCAGGGACCTCAACAGTTGGAGGCTTCTTTTGATACAGAAGTTTTGAGAGCCATATTTCATGGCCAACCCTCCTGATCGGCCAGTCCTAGAGTTGTCGGGGAGCGAATTAGCTAACTGGGCTGGTCAGCCAATATCCCCAAAAATATCCCCTTATGTAAGCAATCATCTGATTATATATACCCATTTGTAGTGATTGTAGTATTGATGATCAATATTCATCTTTTACTTAGTATCCCTATTTACCCGGTCACCCATGACCCCAAGCCTCCCAACACCCCCTTCGAAGCCAGGCTCATAGATCAACTCCGGCCAGTCCCTCGTGATCTTTGCAGCTCGCTCAATGTCAGCACAGCCAAGGCCGGGCGTGTCCACCATCATGAAGTGGGGCAATCCTGCAGCTCCGAAAGTTGGCTGTACGTCTCAGGGTGGGCTATGCAACCATATAATTTAATGTGGCACTTTAGAGGCTAACCAGGGGCACTCTGTTTTTAGACAAACCCACAATAAATTGCAAGTGGTGCTCCATTACTTAGCAAAGTTGGTTCAAATGCTGGTTTATGATTCTACTATAGTTTGCTATGGTGTATATAAGCGACGCCAAAACAAAACCTAGTGGAACATCACCGTTCCAATTGGTTTAAAGTGGCTCATGATATACGGAAAGTACGGAAAGTGGTTGAGACTGCGTATATAAATGGTTGATATGATACTACATGAGGCCACGCAGTTGATGACCCTGGTTCCTCTATCCTTGAACTGGACTGCCCTACTTGCCATCACCTTTCCCAGCAAAACCTGGTCATAATAGTGGCAGAAAACCTACTCTGTCTTGACAGCCATAGACATAGTCGCAGAAACGTAAATCAGAACTATCAACATTATCAACATCAATAATAACACACACAGATATATATATATATATGTATATATATATATAATATATATAATATATATATATAATATATATATATATAAATAACAACCAAAAAAGGCCACAACCCAAAGTCCCACCACCCAAACTCCCAGTTAATGCTCCCAGCCAGTGGCCTGCGCGTTCTTTGTTCACCTCGTAGAACATGAGTTTTCGGGTGAAGGCTCTGGTCTTGGAGGCCGGGGCAAACTTTGTCAGGGAGCTGAAGAGCGCCTGGGCCATGGGAAGCCGTGGCTTCAACGCGCTTCAGCGGGGGGGGGGTCGGCTTCACCGGGAAAACGTATCAATAAAATTAGGGGCTATAGGTGCTAAGCCGGAATCACACTGAACATATGTGGCCATCTGTGGCAATTCTTTTTTTGCGTATGAAAAGGTTTGAAGTTTTTCTTACAAAGGATTCATGGCACCGGAAACTTGATAATATCATGTTTAGGAATATGAGATGTCTGGAGGTATCCCAAGGTCCCAATGATCATTGATCAAAGCCCCTGAATCGAATCCTTAAACATGCATTGATGAAATTCAGGTTAAGGCCAGCAAAACACTCTGCAGATTTGTCTGATCAATCACAATAGGTCCAAAACCTGATGAAAGCATGTTTCTTGTGTTCACGCAATAATTGCTTTCCCAATAATGACCATCATTTCAGTGAGCCCTCTGTCAGATGCGCAGAATCTATCAAGCAAATGCTGTTGCACATTTGCAAATGCATCAATAAACATGCCAAACATGAATCTACCAGATGATCCATTGCAAAATGTTACTCGTGATGCACCGGACTTTTGATTCAGACTCACAGATCCTCACAGTGTTCCCTTTAGCATTCTGCAAATTACCGGTTGCCATCCCGAACCAACGCCACAGAAAATACGAACGGGTACCCAAAACAAACCGGCAATCCCGGTAGCAAGTAGCAAGGAATAATATGTATTTATATATATATATATAACATACGTATTTTCTGTCTTCATTTGTAGTCAACAAATGCAACGTGTCCAAAAGCTCTTGAATCCACAACGATACCAACGATATAGTTTTTGTTTGATATAGTTTTTTTCTATGTTTTTCTTAAAAAAAACATATGTCATATCGTGATTCCCCTTAAAAGGTCAGTACTAGCAAAGCACTACACCAAGCTTTAGCCGTTTACCAAAACGTTTCCGGAGGCGCCCATGGCCGCCGTGGCGCATTGATCATGGAGGACTTGCCGCTGTTGACGCGGCCAATAAAGACCACTTCTGGGCGGTAGCCCGGCAAGTCCTGGATAAGTGGAGCATCTTGGTTTTGCTCATATATATGATTATATAAATACATGATTATATATGTATACATGTATGATTATATATATGATATTATATATATATGATTAAATGTATATTTAAATATGATTATATGTATAGATGATTAAATATATATATATATAGTTATATACATGATTATAAATATAAATATATATATTTATATGGACCCCTGTAGAAATAACACACATCCCCTGTAGATTCCCGTCGATGTTTCATTGGAAAAAACAATCACCTCAAACAAACCGATCGTTTGTATGATACATTTGTATTGCAAACGAATTGGGACTTCATAGGATAATTTACTTGCCAGGCAGCAATGCTTGAGTTAGAATTCGGATCATCAACATGTAACGCAAAAGGAACAACGCTGCTCAATTCGATGGTTGAATATAGATGAGTCTATGATGCGAAACATAGAGCCATATAGCGATCCACTAATTAAAAATCACCCTTGGTGGTATTTTTCTGGAACATCATGTGAAAGTTAAAATTCTTAAACTCTAGCCCAACGTCTTGATCATGAGATTGCATATCGTAGTTTCGGCGACACCGTGTTGCAACCCATGCCATGCACATTGATCTAAAATAAATTCTCAAATAATCTATCCATATCTACCCCAAGCCGTTCATGAACCCACAAATTCTGGGAATTTCTATGAATTTCTCAGCTCTTCTCCTGCAACTTAGATCCCTTTCCGTTTACCCTCTGGAAATCATACCGGGTATCCCCCGGTCCCATGAGATCCCATGGGGATCCCATGGGGATCCCATGGTCCTTAGGCGCTTGTGTGTACCTCTGGGCCTTTTTGAGACACGTGAACTGCTGCGCGCAACCTCTACCTGGGCAACGGGCATCGGGATGACGAGCCCCAAGTCATCCATTTTGCCTTTGATAAGGGAAAATGCCATGGTATAAACCAGCACTTGTGGGATACAAAGTGATGCGATTTTAGTGGAAACCGACCAAGAATTTTCAAGTTGGCTGTGTCTGACAATGTAGTGGCGTGATTAAGCAATGGATTTTTGATTTTTGGGTACCACTTTTTCAAACAAACATATGGGACTTCAGTAGTCTACCATAGTCTACCTGTCCAAGTGGTGAAAACAAAGATTAGCCATGATTCGCCCCATTTGATTTGATGCCTGAATCCTTGGGCGATTCATCATCCCAAGTCGTAACTAGTGGATAGCCCTGGACACAATAAATTGGGACAGCCCAAGGTATGGGAGACTTCTACAGATGATATGTCCATCTATTTTCTGTGTCATCATTGAATCACCACCGTCTTGGCGGATACCCTCTTGTAATTTTCAGATAGATATTTTATATATAGAGCATTGTATAGCTATGGAAGCTGTGGCCCATCTACATCATTGAACCCTCTATATTATCTACCTATTGTTGATTTTCCAAAGCTACGTTGTATTCATCCAACTTTTCCGTATCGGCCCAGCTTTCGCCACCTGCGAAGGACCACGCACTGGAAGCTGAACAACAACACAACAGGTTCCATGCCTGATTTAAGAAACAAGGTACGGAAAAACGTGTGTTTTCAAACATGATGGAAGTCTTAATCCACCAAAATGAAGATATAAACTCTATTTATTTGTACGCTTTATGACAAATCCAAAACCTGAATTCATGTCATGTGATTTCCCCTAGATTTTTCCACATGATTTGTGGTGCCTTATGGAATTTTCCCCAAGGTGCTAAGAAAGTGCAGCGTCATGTCATTTCGGGGGATGCCCAGCTCATTCATGATCTCGCAGGCCCTCAAGGCCTTGACGACTGGGTCAAAGAATGCACCAAGTCATGTCCATCATGATCTAAAAATGGTCTCAAATTCTCAAACAAACAATATGGATATTGTTTGACTCTAAAAAATGAATATTTCCATGGTATGGCGCAAGGCCGCAACGCAAGCAAATCTGATTTCAGAATATAGAACCAATAGATATCAATAGGTTTTTAGATGTTTTTAGGCTTCTCTTCAATCATAGGCCAACCATTCAATAGATTCATCCCCCATTTTTTTTTGACCTGGCCTGTGGGACCAACCTCGCTCGGCCATACCATCGGATGAGCTGATTGAAGGGCTCATTGAGCATCAGAAATCGACGATTCCTCGGGCCAAAACTTGGCACAGTTGATTGCTGTTCTAGGAAAATGATGGCATCTCGCTGTCTATTTCCAAACATGTTTTTGACACAGTTGCACGCATGCTCACCAAGTTTTGGTGGGTTATATTTTTTTTGGTAAATTTATGTTCACATAATTTGACTTGTAAACATATCTAGTTATATATATATATATTATACCTGCGTGTCACTCAAGGCTGCTTAACCCCCATGGTTTCCCAATGGCTTTCCCAAGCTGCGGCGTAAGCGCCAGAATCTCATTCTTAATCTCCAGCATTTCCTCGAGTTTTTCGGCCACGCGCGCACCGTGACCCGTCAGAAGCTTGGGCATCTGATCAGCCGTGGACTGCAAATACCTGAGGAAAAATCCGTTGAACCCCCGTGCTACTTATGAGGTAGCAAGACCCCGTAGCCCTGGTGAACATCAAAATAGCTATAAAATGTGGTAAACAGATCTTCTTCCCAAAAAATATGGCACTATAGTATCTATAGGTTTTGACCCATCCCCATATGTTTTTGTTAAGCAATCAACAAGCATTGGTATATAATTGAACTGTCATAGTTTTATGCATTTGTTGGGGGAGGTTTCCTATATACTTTTGTATTTGTTGGGCGGGAAAGCTGGGTTTTGTGGAATTGAATCCGCGGGGTGTTTTTTGAGATAATCTCTAGTAGCTAGTAATCGAACCTGGTTGGCTGTGAAAAAAGGACAATGGCTACTATGGTCACTACATAAACTTGGCATAAACCAAAAAAAAACGGATTTGAACCATGATAGGTTTGGGTATGTAAGTGAGGACAAGCGGGATTAGGAGCTGCTGAATTTGAATGAGTTTGATACTTTTGTTGGGTGAATAAAACGATTCTTGGGATTTACCCTTGTCCTTTCTTCCTCAACAATGCGTATCACAGAGGTTCTAATTGATGAACGGAAACACATCCCCCCAATAAAGGTTTAACCAATGAAATCGGCGACTTTGCAGTGCCAGAATTTCGTTGCTTAGACCAATCAATGAAAACAAGTAGTGATCCCATCCCTAGGTTATGATAAACACGCGCTTTCCTTGGAACACAAAAATGAACATATTCAGGCCGCTTAACAAAGTCTTTTGCGAAGTGTTTATATTGTTTATGCCAGTGGGACTAGATTTTTATAGCACATCTCGGTAAAATTATGGCAACTTATCATTGTTTTTTCCGTGTTTTGTTTCCACCGAAAAGAACCAATGCTAAGATTTTTTTTCCCAACTTCCAATGAGATCCATGATCCATGGGACAGCGCCGAGCTCTCAAGGACGCTTTGGAAAACTCGAGATCCAGCCTGAGGGCGGTGATTGATTGACAGCGAAGCAGATTCAAGGGTTGGGATATAGACACGTTGCCCTATCGTATCATCTATCTATCCAGTCTAGTCTAGTCTAGTCTAATCTATGTATTCGACATCTAATCTGATATTATCCAAATCGAAATCTAAATGAGATTTCAATCCAATATTATTACTGTACCTATCTGATCTACCTTATCTGCCTTGTTTATCTCGTCTTATTTATTGTATCTATCTTACCTATCTTAATCTATCTGACATAAGGCACCTGACCTATTTATCTTACAAACATCATATCTATCTTACATACCTCACCTAGCTTTTCTATCCTACCTATCTTATCTGTCTCATTTATGTAAACTATCTGATCTATCTGCCCTATCTGGTCTATCTGCTCTATCTGATTTTTGATCTATCTGTCTAACCATTGCAAAAATACAAAATTACGCTAGCAAAATCTTGCTGGTATGATGTATTCGCTACTGCGAAATTCCACCTTCCATGCAATATCATTCATGTAGGCCAACAGGCCGCTCATAGAGCGTATGGGAAAGGCTGGCAACCATCTTGGGCTGACTGGTGGCTATTACAGTGTGACCATCGAAATTGGGTCAGTAAGCACCCAAGGGCTTCCCTGAAGTTGGCACATGCAGCGTAGCTGACTGCAGAATGATTTCAAACTCGCAAATCTTCCGACAAATCTATAATATGAATATATGGGAATGACTGATTGCCCAATGAGGTCGGCTACGGTTTGGTCTTTAGGGAAGTAAATCTGGGTAACCATCAGAAGGCTATTACCACTGAGCCGTTTTTAATTTTCGATGTCAGTTTGAGGTCAGTTGACTTTTTCCATCGAACCAATCCATCTGACCAAGCTATGGCCAATCTTGGACGCCCTGCTTTTGCTGCTTATAATATAGATAAGTATAATATATATATATATAGATAGATAGATAGATATAGATATGTATATGTATATATATATGTGTGTACATGTATATATATATATAAATAGTAATGCGTATGTGAATACGTTATTATTGTTGTAAATATAGATAAATGTATGATTAATCTCAAGTAATATATGTATATATATATAATCGGGGTGACAATTCATTATGTGAAGCTGTGCAGGAGTTTTAGAGCGGTCTAACTTTTGTGCATAGGCCTCAGGCTTTAAAATGCACAAAAACAATGAAAACTGGCTCTGCAATAAAATGCCTTGCCACCAAATTCATGCTTGAATGTGCATCCAACATCATCCAATTTCATCCAATTTTGAAGACCCTCAGAAACGCATCTTTAAAAAGAGGTCAGGAAATCCATTTTAGATAGGGGTATTTTAGAGAGAAAGTGCCCAAATATTTAGCGTGTTTTTTTTTTTAATAGCATTCCAAAGCAACAAAATACGGTGGCATTCTTTCGTGGCAATTCCTTAACATTCCTTAAAAATCCTTTAAATCCCTTAAGATTCCAAAAAACTCCTTAAATATCCTTTAAAATTTAAAAACATTCCGTCAAATTCCTTTAAATTCCTTAAAATTCCTCTAAGGTTCCTTAAAATTCCTTAAAACTCTCTAAATTCCTTAAATTTCCTTATAATTCCTTTAAAATTCCTTAATATTCCTTATAATTCCTTTAAAATTCCTTAATATTCCTTAAAATTCCTTAGAATTCCTTCAAATTCCTTAAAATTCGCTGGTCTAAAATGACATGCCCAATAACATCGATATAAAAAGATCCTGGAAAAACACTGGTTCCATTCTGCAATAAAATGCTCCAAGCAAACTTTTTTTGCAATAAAATGAGAATGGAATTTTAACATGTTAAAAATCATCAGGATTTACCTTTACAATAAAATGCTTAGCCCAACCCCCCAACAATAAAATGACTAGCCTGACATCAATTTTAAAATTCCAATACATTAAGAATTTCGTTTAAACTATGCACAGGTTCACCAGTTCTAGAGTGGAAATTGCCACGGGGATTATATATATATATAATCGCAAAAACAAACTAATATAATAATATATGCATTTATTAAAAGAAGGTTTTTAATTAATATACATATATTGTGTGTGTGTCCCTTCTTCTTGTTTACCACAAAAACACTGCAATTCCTTCCCCCAAGTATCATAAGTATCAACACTAGACCTGAGGTCTTCATTGGAGGCGTTTTTTTAAAGAACGCAGCAAGGGCCGAGCCGCAGTGATATATTTGGTGCGGCCGCATTTCTGCTGTAGGCCCGACAAATGGTAGGCGGCTTCCACTGCTCCCACCTTTGCACAGGCATGCGCCACATATCCTTGGCAGGCCGCGTGGTCAAAAGAGACCGGAGGGGCAAGAGATCCAACAAGATAAAGAAAATCCTGCCAAGATAGTGGAAAATTGTTTTTCATGGTTTTCTTGATCTTTTTGGTGGTAACGGAAATGAAATACCTCAACTAATTAAACGGCTGTTTCAAATGCCTAAACTGGAGGTATCTGTGGACATGTTGGAAGTTTCCGACCGACACATTGACAAAAACCACATCTTTGTTGTCTGGCTTGTGGTTTCAACTCATCCCAAGAATATGAGTCAAGTGGGATCATCTTCCCAGGAAAGGTTGAGAAAAACACATGTCACATGTGCTCTTGCCACCAGCCAGTGATAGAATCTTTTGGGCCTATATAATTGGTCAGGATCCGGAAACTGGGATCTCAGTTTAGGGAGGGTGCCAACTAAGTGGAGATTTCCACAGGTACTAGTTGGAGGTTGCATGCCATGGCACAGGTGCTGGATCCAGCAACCGAATGTAATCAGTGATGTCTAGGAGAAGTCACCCTGGTGGAGGACAGAAAGGCCAAGACCCTGCACGAAGGACATTTTCGGCAGGATTGCGTGGCTGTAATGGTGGTGTCTTTCAGGGATTTCAAGGCATAGAGGTAACACATCCAAGATGATGAAGGTTTGATTGAGGCTCAATGATGCAGGCCTTTGGCTACAGAAACTCGAGCTGATGTTGGACTGCGTAGCTGTCACCACCACCTTGCGGATTGCCCCAAGTAATCACCGATCCATCTGACAAGATCGCAGCAAATGCACCCATTGAGGCCTGAACCTGCTGCACATTCCTGAGCTGATGCTGGACAATAGAGCTGTCACCACCACATTGTGGATTGCCCCAAGTAATCACCGATCCATCTGACAAGATCGCGGCAAATGCACCGAATGTGGCCTCAACCTGCTGCACATTCCTGAGCTGATGTTGGACTGCAAAGCTGTCACCACCATTTCGTGGACTGCCCCAAGTAATCACCGATCCATCTGACAAGATCGCAGCAAATGACCCGGCTCCTGCTGTGGCCTGGACCTGCTGCACATTCCTGAGCTGATGTTGGACTGCAGAGCTGTCACCACCATGTTGTGGACTGCCCCAAGTAATCACAGATCCATCTGATAGAATCGCAGCAAATGCATCGGTTGTGGCCTGCACCTGCCGCACATTCCTGAGCTGATGTTGGACTGCAGAGCTGTCACCACCACTTTGTGGATTGCCCCAAGAAATCGCTGATCCATCTGACAAGATCGCAGCAAATGACCCGGCTACGGCTGTGGCCTGAACCTGCTGCACATTCCTGAGCTGATGTTGGACTGCAGAGCTGTCACCACCACTTTGTGGATTGCCCCAAGTAATCACCGATCCATCTGACAAGATCGCAGCAAATGAACCCATTGCGGCCTGAACCTGCTGCACATTCCTGAGCTGATGCTGGACAGCAGAGCTGTCACCACCACTTTGTGGATTGCCCCAAGTAATCACCGATCCATCTGACAAGATCGCGGCAAATGCAGTGTTTGTGGCCTGAACCTGCTGCACATTCCTGAGCTGATGTTGGACTGCAGAGCTGTCACCACCACTTTGTGGATTGCCCCAAGTAATCACCGATCCATCTGACAAGATCGCAGCAAATGAACCCATTGCGGCCTGAACCTGCTGCACATTCCTGAGCTGATGCTGGACAGCAGAGCTGTCACCACCACTTTGTGGATTGCCCCAAGTAATCACCGATCCATCTGACAAGATCGCGGCAAATGCAGTGTTTGTGGCCTGAACCTGCTGCACATTCCTGAGCTGATGTTGGACTGCAGAGCTGTCACCACCACTTTGTGGATTGCCCCAAGTAATCACCGATCCATCTGACAAGATCGCAGCAAATGCACCCATTGAGGCCTGAACCTGCTGCACATTCCTGAGCTGATGCTGGACAACAGAACTGTCACCACCTCTTTGTGGATTGCCCCAAGTAATTACCGATCCATCTGACAAGATCGCGGCAAATGCACCGAATGTGGCCTGAACCTGCTGCACATTCCTGAGCTGATGTTGGACTGCAGAGCTGTCACCACCATTTTGTTGATGACCCCAAGTGAGTATTCTGTCGCATCCTTGGCACCACAAAGCAAAGGCTCCTGTTATATTCCTGCATAATTTCTTTGTTGCAGCCACCCTTGCCTGAAGCGCAAAAGCCGCTAGGGTGTCTCCTTCTTGAATGCCGGCAGTCTGTAAAGATTCCTGTGGATCAGCCAGGAGACGCCCGTCCGACATGACAAGCCTCAAAAAACCCTGCCTAAAAGCTTTCTGGGCCAAAGTCCTCAAGTCTCCTACTTTGGAAGACTCTGGGAGTGACAGCTTCTCACTGCGCCCGCTAGGCAAAGAAATGTTGACTTGAAGCATCTGTCCAAACAAAAACCGTAAATGACCCAAAAACTACATTGCCTTGAAAAAAATCTCGGGCCGGAGTCTGCACAGAGAATTTTTTTTGTGCACATACTTGATGTACAGGTAAAGGCTGGTCAATGGAGATTTTGCAACAAAAACCCGTGGTGCCTGTAGCTTGTTGTCTTCAATCAAATCATAAGCAAACATCAATGGTTGGGTGGCCGATGACCGATGGGACTGAACCATCTGAACCCACATGAATGTAGGATGCAATGTAACCCAAACATTATCACGGCGGTGTCCTGATCACAAATTTGACGATTAAGGTTCCCATCAAGCAATCAGCATCTACATAGTTTCCATCTATGTTATTTGACCACTGCTCCCTGGTTTCACCCCAAAAGGTTGGGACATTATTCGACACTTCAAACTCAGAGTTCAAAGTTCAAACATGTCACCAAGGCCACCAGTTGGATCATCCCCCCCTATCGATCCGCCATATTTTGGTGGGTCGATCCCAGTGTAAGAGATAGCGCAAGATCAGATTGTTGGTTGTATCGTGGTTGTTTGTGTTCCATAAACTTTCCATTCCTCACGATTGTTGTTGAAACCTCCATTTTTTCATTACTTTTCTGGTTTAAAAAAAAGTGAACTCCCTAGTTTTCATGTTGAAACATGTTCGAACATGTTAAATCCTTTGGTGTTTCATGGTTTTTTGGTGGCTTATGCCTAAGGCTTAATATCTAGTTCACTTCTTTTACCTTCCAACTTCCAACCAATCAGCCTCTTCCGATCGCCCGAGTGTCTCAAGGTCTGGTAACCACAGGGCGTCTGCCCATCAGGGCCGGCCGCCAGCTTCGCCGCTTCCGCGGTCTTGTTCAAACGACACAAGGCCACCGCCGCCCAGCCTGACGCCAATGTTCAGCAACATTTGTAATGGTTATTTAAACTAAAGGACCGGGTAACCCCACAAGGCAGCTTCTTCCAATAATGAGCACCAAGTGTTGTAGCGGGGACGGGGAAAGAAGGAAAGACAAAGCATGTGGTGGAGGACCGACAAGTAAAACAAAGTTGTGGTGACAAAGTTGTATGTGAAAGATGGTGTGTGACGAAGAAAGATGTTGTGTGTGACAAAGTTGTGTGTGACAAAGTTGTGTGTGAAAGATGGTGTGTGTGAAAGTTGTGTGAAAGAGAGCATGTGACAAAGTTGTCTGTAAAACATGGTGTGAAAGATGGTGTGTGTGAAAGATGGTGTGTGACAAAGTGGTGTGTTACAAAGATGGTGTGTGAAAGAGGGTGTGTTGGAAAGATTGTGTGTGAAAGAGGGTGTGTCAAAGATGGTGTGTCAAAGATGGTGTGTGAAAGATGGTGTGTGACCAAGATGGTGTGTGAAAAAGATGGTGTGTGAAAGCTGGAGTGTGACAAAGTTGTGTGAAAGATGGTGTGTCAAAGATGGTGGGTGGCAAACTGGTGTGTGAAAGATGGTGTGTCAAGATGGTGGGTGACGAAGTTGGGTGTGAAAGATGGTGTGTGTGAAAAAAATGAGTGTGACAAAGTTGGTTTGCGAAAGATGGTGTGTAACAAAGCGGTGTGTGAAAGATGGTGTGCCAAAGATGGTGTGTGACAAAGTTATGTGTGAAAGATGGTGTCGTGAAAGATGGTGTGTGACAAAGTGGTGTGTGAAGGATGGTGTGGGTGAAAGTTCTGTGTGAAAGAGAGAGTGTAAAAAACTTGTGTGTGAAAGATGGTGTGTGACAAAGTAGTGTGAAAGATGGTGTGCCAAAGATGGTGTGTGACAAAGATGTGTGTGACAGATGGTGTGTGACAAAGATGGTGTGTGGAAGTGGCGAAAGATGGTGTGAGACAAAGGGGTGTGTGAAAGATGGTGTGTCAAAGATGGTGTGTGACAAAGTTGGGTGTAAAAGAAGGTGTGTGAAAGATGGTGTGTGAAAGATGGTGTGAAAGATGGTGTGATACCAAGATGGTGTGTGAAAGAAGGTGTGTGAAAGATGGTGTGTTACAAAGATGGTGTGTTACAAAGATGGTGCGCCAAAGATGGCGTGTGAAAGATGGTGTGTGACAAAGCTGTGTGTGAAAGATGGTGTGTCAAAGATGGTGTGTGAAAGGTGGTGTGTGACAAAGTGGTGCCAGCCACCAGAGCCACCAGAGCCAGCCCAGTGCCATAAGTGCCACGCCTGCCACGCAAAACCAAGGTAGATGTCTCCAAGCGCCACGCCTAGCACGTGAAACGAAGGTGGATGTCGCCAAGTGCCACGCCTGCCACGCAAAGTACCGCGGCGTCACCGGCGACCAAGCGCGCCCAAGCGCGCCACCAGAACCAGCCCAGTGCCATAAGTGCCACGCCTGCCACGCAAAAACAAGGTAGATGTCTCCAAGTGCCACGCCTCCCACGTTGAAACGAAGGTGGATGTCGCCAAGTGCCACGCCTGCCACGCAAAGTGCCGCGGCGTCACCGGCGACCAAGCGCGCCCAAGTGCGCCACCAGAGCCAGCCCAGTGCCATAAGTGCCAAGCCTGCCACGCAAAACCAAGGTAGATGTCTCCAAGTGCCACGCCTGGCCGTTGGATGTCGCCAAGTGCCACACCTGCCACGGGCGACCAAGCGCGCCCAAGCGCGCCACCAGAGCCAGCCCAGTGCCATAAGTGCCACGCCTGCCACGCAAAACGAAGGTAGATGTCTCCAAGCGCCACGCCTAGCACGTGAAACGAAGGTGGATGTCGCCAAGTGCCACGCCTGCCACGCAAAGTACCGCGGCGTCACCGGCGACCAAGCGCGCCCAAGCGCGCCACCAGAGCCAGCCCAGTGCCAAAAGTGACGCCTGCCACGCAAAACCAAGGTAGATGTCTCCAAGTGCCACGCCTGCCACGTGAAACGAAGGTGGATTCGCTAAGTGCCACGCCTGCCACGCCTGCCACGCCTGCCACGCAAAGTACCGCGGCGTCACCGGCGACCAAGCGCGCCCAAGCGCGCCACCAGAGCCAGCCCAGTGCCATAAGTGCCACGCCTGCCACGCGAAACCAAGGTGGCTGTCTCCAAGTGCCACGCCTGAGACAGCAAACGAAGGTGGATGTCGCCAAGTGCCACGCCTGCCAGTTGACAAAGATGTGTGTGAAAGATGGTGGTTGACAAAGATGTGTGTGAGAGATGGTGGTGTGAAAGATGGTGGTTGACAAAGATGTGTGTGAGAGATGGTAGTGGACAAATATGTGTGTGAGAGATGATGGTAGTGGACAAAGATGTGTGTGTGAGAGATGGTGGTTGACAAAGATGTGTGTGAAAGATGGTGGTTGACAAAGATGTGTGTGAGAGATGGTGGTTGACAAAGATGTGTGTGAGAGATGGTGGTTGACAAAGATGTGTGTGAGAGATGGTGGTTGACAAAGATGTGTGTGAGAGATGGTGGTTGACAAAGATGTGTGTGAGAGATGGTGGTTGACAAAGATGTGTGTGAGAGATGATGTGTGAAAGTTGTTGTGTGACAAAGTGGCGGCGGAGCAGGGGCGGAGGAGAAGGAGGAGGAGGCTCGGGATACAGAATCAAAAACAAGAACCCCACACAAAGTTGTGGGGAATAAATAAATAAATAAATATTTATATATATATATATTCATCATATATCATATATATATATAGTCACATATATATATATATATGTATTTGTGTGACTATGTGTGTGTGTGTAATCATACCCTCCCGCAAATTCACATAGACCCTAAAACTTGATGAAACTTGGCCAATTTGTAGTGCACACGAATCTTCTAAAAGCCGACTGAAGGCAGGGTCTATGTGAATTGGAGGGATGATCGTAGCAATCAAAACGAGGATTGAACCAACCAACATAACTTTCAAACCAACCAAAATCCGGATGTCAATGGATATAAGAAACCAAAAACGGTGATGGCAAGCCAAATACTTTTTTGGGGGGATTTGACCAACCAAAATTTGGACTTAAGCACTTCCAGAATGGGAAGTGCATAGGAAGCTGATGGAAATGATAACCTATGGAAGCCTTATGACTAAAGGCCCTCTCAGTTACCATAGAACAATGCCAGGAGATGATAATAATCAGTGAGTTGTTGTGGTTGGTTGCCAATCTTTTCCTTGCCATCGGGATTTGGTTAGCAGCCTTTGGGGTGTAACAATGGTTTTATCCTATAAATTGCGATCAACAATTCCGTATGAAATATATGAGCATGTAAACATATTTAAACCCATGACACCTATACAGTGAGTTATGGCATACGAAATCACCATCGCTTTTTAATTTTGGCACCGCCGGAAGTTCCGTGTTTCCAATTGACCTCGTCCATCACCCTCGGGGTGCTCAATGCCGAAACGGATGATACGCAAAGGGTCCTGCATCCGCAGGAAGGATTGCATCAGGGAGCGCACGGCTTGTTCACCTCAGCGATGGTGGAGCCAAGCTAGGACAACTCTTGAGGATTTCTCGAGGTGGGATTGGGGGAAAAAATGGACCATTTTGGGCCACATGTTTTTGTTTGATCTTGCCATTTAAACCATGAATTCCACGCTGGGAGACATATTGGAAGAGTGGAATCAGCCTCTGAGTCCCTGGACGAACATGGATGGGACATGATGGGACACCAAAAGTGGCAACTGGAAGAATATCTGTGGAGAAGTGGAAACATGATGAGAATTGATGAGAGTGGTAGGATGTTGCACGAGAATGGCTAAGTATGGCTAAGTGGGTATAGCTAACTCTAGGGCGATAAAGATGATGAGTTGCTCTTGCAAAGGACCAGGATGTTTTCTGTTTCGGATTTGCAGGACTTGTGAGATATGTTCAACCTGCAAATTGGCTCCAATTAAGTGGATCCGTCTGAGATGCGGGAAAAAATATTCTATCTGCTTTCCCTCTCTATATAGACAGTATAATACAACTATGTAATTATATACTGACAATTCGTTCTGGAGCTTCGGCTGTTCATGATGGGACATCCCTGGATATTCCCCAGTCTGGTGAATCATTCGCGCAACCCCAACTTCACCCAATGTTGCACCGAACTAAAAAATAGCAAATCTACATCTTCAGTTTCCTAGGGTTTCATGATGCCACCTGCTCTCTCTGCCAGCGAGTGCCATGGGGTGTGCCTGAAGAAGCAATTTCAATTTGTTCAAACCTAACCAACTGAAAATCCTCAAATCTGCAGGCGAGTCACGTTTGCCGCGAAAATTCTGCCGCCAAGTTTCACCGTCGCCCGTTTCGCGCGATAAATCCGCTTGCCGCTTCATAGGATCCAACACGTTGGGCCACTGGATAGATTCCTGTGGGGCGGAGTGGCAGTCCATGGTCTCAACTCATCTAAATTAGTGCTTGCAGCTAGTTCAAACAAAAAGAAAATACAAGTTAACACAAGTTACGGTCAAACGACAAACTCATGCCTAACTCATGCCTGGGTCAAAACTTGCTAGTAGATCACCATGGAATCGCTGTTTCAAGAAACTTATGCCTAAGTCATGCCCAAATCTTAAAACACCATGGAATCGCGTATGTATCAAATGTTCGCAAAAATCCGTCTACAGTTGCACCCTAGGTAGTTAGATAGATAGATAGATAGATAGGTAGGTAGGTAGGTTGGTACACGAGGCTCAGCAGTAGCAGCCAGCACCGCCAAAATAACCCGAGACATTGAACACACTGGAAAGAAAAAGATAGAAACACCAACTAATCGCTACACTCACATCCAGTTTGACTCGGTATGGAAAAGGTTACTCTTGATGCTAACTAAACACAACCTAATCGCAGGTTTATTAACAAAAAACTATTCCAAAGACCAAATCCAACAAAACATTGCAATTCCTATGCGTTTTACTAAAAGGCACGACTTTTCAAATCAAGTGCTCCCCAGCTATTTACGATGATTTCCAAATTTTAGGCACGACTAACTGTAACATTGCATAAACAAAGCCACAATAACAAAGTTATATATAGGGTGATTTTGAAGCAATGACTTTATGCAATCAAGTAACAAACATCATCTGCCACATATCTGCAACAATTTGAAATAAACTCCCCTTTAACCGTCCCACCATAAAATGTTTCGAAAATAAATGCCTAGCAAGAGATGGCTCTTCCCGCCTTGAATGTCACATGTACAATGCATACAGAAATGCAACAGCGTGCGAATCACTTTTTATATCTTTTTTATAGAGCTGTATCATCATGAATCACTACACTTTCACTTTAAAAGAATGAAATTGCGCCCTCATATAAATGTATATACATAGAGTATATGATATGCGCGTGTGTGTGTGTGTGATCTCCATGTGTATTCCATACCTGAAATATCAAGTGATAGCAAGTGGGTCACCGCTCTCCTGATTGTCCTGGGGCTGTGCATAGGGCAGCACCTCGTTCGTTGTATCGGCTTCCAGTTCCGCCAGCTGCGGTTGCTCCCGCTTGCTGAGCTCAGGGCGCACCTGCAAATCCATGGGAAATCCATGGGAATCCCCATCCCATGCAGCTGGTAAGTTGGTTACCTAATTTTAGGGAGTGTAAAGAGATGTAAAGAGTATTTGCAGGTAAAAATATGGTCAAATGCAATGATCCAAACATAGCTCATTTGGGTACTTGGACATTCATCTCAGGACTGCAGGGACTGGAAATGGATGAGATTCAGCAAACACGCGAAACGTGAGATACAGTAACACCATCGATGGATTTTTTCCCTGAACGAAAGTCTTTGTACATCCAATGAAATCACTAAAGCCTCAGGGATGGCCATGGTGTGTGTGTGTTTTTGCTTACTGTCGATGCTTTGATAATGTCAATGAACCCCCCGCTGAAACAAACATCTCATGTCCCCTTGCAGCCTCTTGCAACAGAAGAAATGAATTATCAACCCCCACTGACCTCCACTAAATCAATCTAAATCATTATGTCACGGTGTCCCATGTTCAACCCATCAAAAACCAGACCCCAAAATCATAACTTCCAAACCCTGCCATGTGGATATGGGTCCAAATCATGGCACTCTGGATGTTACACCAGAATATCCGGAGCCAAGTTGCTCTCCTCAGAACATGGCTCCGCCTGACGCGCCCTGCCACGCACCCAGCCGCCACGCCCAGCCCCGCAGCCGCTCTGACCGGGGCTCCGGAGGCCCTGGAGGCTCTGGAAGTCGAGCTCGAGGCTGGCGCGGCCGGCAGCGCTGGCAGCACAGGGTGCCAGGGTGAAACTAAGGCCATGACCGCAACTGGTGAGGCGAAAAAGACCCTGCAACTGATGGACTTGAGCCAAGTTGGTGTTTGGGATGGGCAATTTACCCGACATGGTGTCTTGAAGCAGCTTATGATGATAGAGAAGCCCAGGTGGATCAAAAACCAAGGAGCGAGACCATGTCCCAATCAAGTCTTGGGAAAGGTCCTGGGGAATGGAACAGGTATGCAAGAAGAAAATCAATGTATATATATATATAGGCATATAGGATAGGTATCCACAAAAACACATCGGCCCTTGCACGGGGGTTGATGCTGTCAGTGGCTGCCGTTCCCTCAAACCCTTGCAACCTTCATTGAAGAAGCCAAAGAAAATGACCGACCTCGGAGCTACTAATTACTGCCCGGCGGGTGGTCCAAACCTCCTAGAGCTACTAGAATCATCCCACGTAAACAATGGCAACAGATAAAATATGGAACCACAAACATTCGACAAGCCAGGTAATTATTTATAAGATTTAAGATCCGGGCAACACCATTACGGAACCACCGGCGAACGATGAGATAGTCTGGACGCTGGATCAAGTTAATGACAAGCAAAGCTGAATAGTGAAGACAGTGTATTGGTGGCCATTCCCCCGTTGGAAATGCGCATCCAAAATCCAAAGCTCTCCATCTATCGCTACCAAGAAGTTGTCTGAAAGTACCCCAAAATCCGATGGTTTATAGAACGTAATTTTCTCCATAAAATTGTTATTGCGATAACTATGTTTTGCACATCCCTCATGTTGCTGGGTTTACGCATATTCCATCCTATTCCAACCGAGGGACGGATGGTTCACCGATGCTGCCACCATCTCATCTGCCAGTTTCAGACTCTGCATCAAGAAAATGCCGTCCGCAAAATCCTCTAGGAATGGCAGGAATGAGATCCGCCAAGTTCAAACGACAGGACAGTGAAAAAGCCTTAGCCATCCTCTCATCTACCACGCCAGAGTCAGAGGTAAGCTGCTCATTTTTGGATATAGACATAGATAATTGTGACATTTTTTAAGAGGATCTAAACTCCCATGCATGCGAAAGGGCACAACATCCATCAGCACTACTGCTCCTGCGGAGTGTTTTGCCAGCCCAGAACCTCTTCCCATACTAACAGGCCATGCTCATCACAAAGGTCCAGAAATCGCTGATCCTGAGCGTAGTGTGCCTTGGTGCCGGTACTCAGAACTTGCTAAAAATCGTGGGGCCACGATTGCTGCAACAAAACCCTGTTCCAAACTATGGCATGAGGTTGTTGCAAGGTGGTTGAACCTTGGAGAACCATTGAAACACCGAGGGCAAGAAGCAGTTCCGCACACATGCTTGTATGACTTATTGCTACATAGCAATATACTAACATACATGTATGTGGGCATGTCATGTGGACATAAAACTCAATCAAAAAATAAACATGACCTGCGCTATCAACTTTATTGTATATATATATACACACTTCAATATACGCTATTCAACTATGCCAAAAATGGGTTGCAGATCTTCTCCATCTGATGCCGTTGTTTTATGGTGTTTCCCCATTCATGACACAAAACTACTCACTGTCCCAGCAACACCTCGCACGAAGTTGGCTCCCACCTCCTGTGTCGTTGTTGGTTGTGTTTCGTTCAATAACCTTACACATATACGTGTAATTATGTAATTTACGTGTGTACAAGTAGCTTGGATCTTGCAAACATCTGACTTTCCATTGTCATTAAGATTTTGAGTCGCTAAAACTGACGAATTTCGATGTTCCTCAACGTATGGTCAAGCAGTTGGATGACCATCCTTTTGTCTAGATGCTTCCCCCTGCATGGTTACTTGTCGGGATGGTCAATCAAACATCCTGTCTGGGTTGATGACCTTGCCAGTATATCAAAGAAGTCCGCAAAATAAACCGAGTTCGTAGAGATGCTATCCATGGATTTGTCTGTTGTTTGTCCATGTACCTAGCTATCTATCTTATTTCAATCCCCCTGCAAAAGCACATCCCGCATGGACGAAAAGTAGAACACCTGTGAATCGTTTGGAACCCACCAATCACTTCTGTCGAAATCAGTGATATCTCCCCCTTGCGTGTTTTATGGGCAAATGCCGATGCTTCCCCCCATCAATTAATTTATATTGGTGTTACAGCCATTGTTTCCCACATGCATTCCCTTTATGCTTCCGAGGATCAAAACCCCGATTAATTACCTCTTCCAAACCCCAAGAGTCATTCGAAATATGATCCCAACCCCAACCCCCCCAAAGAAACACGCTCAACACACCTTTCATCTTTGACACATGTTCATGGGATTAAGGACAAATTTACCGCACACCCCGCTCAATTTCATGGGGAAAACCATGGTTTCCTCATGTTTCTCATTTGAAAAACCATGGAAAAATGGGGAAAACAATGGTCTCCTCATGTTAAAACCATGGCTTCCTCCAGATTTTCCCTTAAACCAAGCCAATGAAACGACCTTTCCACGTCCTTCAGAAGCTGCACATCCTCCAGCAGCTGCTGGTCGCTCAGCACCGCCGAGGAGGTCAAGTCGTGGCGATTGAAGCCAAAGAGCCTGGGACTTTGGCCGGACAACATGGGAAGACCATGGAAGACCCAAAAAAAAACATGACCAGTGATGACCAGTGGTTAAATCACATGATTTAATGTTTATATTGATATTGTTGATGAATTCAGATGATAGTATATGAAATATGTTGTGTGATGCATGTTGTATGTTGTGTGATGTATGATACATGATATGCGATATGCTATTCGCTAGATGCCGTTCTTATTCTTGTTCTCCGTGTTTTGATGTGGGGAAGCAACCAGGAACCAACCGCCAGCGAATCACTGGCTGCTTGACCCGCCCCATGAGTTTTAAAGAGAGAAATGCTGGAGTTGGATCATCTTTGCCATTGAACCTAAGGTCCAGGGAATTTCGGTGTAGATGGTCTAGATAATTTGATGTCCTCTACACAGCCAATATTCATCACTTGATTTTGCCGGGGAATCCATGAGATTCACAACCACGGAATGTCATCAGCAGCGATACGAAACAATCTTCACTTACTTCATACAGTATCGAACAAATGGTTGTATCTCAGAACCCCAGAAAGCCAGGAATCAAAACCAAAACAAATGCCAACAGTAAAAGGATGGTATCTATGCCAATCCTGTCATCCCCTTTCAACCAAGGGTGCCAACCATCATCAACTACGGCCCCCAAAATGACGAAGCTCTTCAGGGGCTCACCGTTCAACAAGATCTCGCGCTTTCGCGTGCTGACCGTCCGGAGGCCAAAGCGGACCTCCATGCAATCCAACATCTGCTCGCCCTCCAGCAATGCCACCTATGGGGTGGGCAAACACTCCGCTCCCTGCTGGTTGGTTGTTGTTGGTGAAGGGGAAACTTGCAGGAAGAAATATGTGTTCTTCCGAGGTCTCCATACTTTGCCACATTTTGGCGGCTCTACGTCCCTGACATATTGAAGGTTCAAGGGCCCATGGAGATTCATATGGAACCACTGATGATCTGCCTTGGATGAAACATGTTAAGTTCACAAAGAACATGAGCGACACATCTGGTTTAGTTCTGCTCAGTGTGTTCTGCTCATCTGACTCATGTGTCATCAATCTGGAATCCCCACTATACCTATGATATCCTATGACCATATCTTCGCTCTCACACCCAGCAAATTCTCCCAGTCCTGTTTCAGGTTGCAATGTTTTCACCTACCCCATTTCTTGTGCTCCCATTTCCATATTGGATCAATCAGGACACTATCGTAACAATTCACAAACCTGTCCTCCGGTGCTTCAAACTGCAGCACTCATCTGGATAATTCGTCATAAATCCCGCGGCTGAATATAAGGCCACCACCTCCATGATTTCCACATGTGTCCACATAATTCTCATCCACTTTGCAGCGAGCTCGACTATGAGTTTGATGTTCAACAATCACCCAAACCTTTCTGAATCCAGGAAAAAATCTCAAGGTATCCCGAACCCTCAAAAAAATAAACAAAAACATCTACCCTCTGGTTATTGAACGTAGCGAACAGGGAACATCATCATATTTAGGTAAATCATCATCCTTATATCACGCTTATCATCTTAAAAAAAAATTAGGGCCATGGCTTCTTCGCTATGTTCACCCAAGGGCCCAAGGGTATCTTTCATCCACCAGCTCCACCAGCACCTTCAACCGATGAAGCCGTGGCTTCTCGGGTCGCCATGGCAGGGCCCCAGGCACTGGGAGCCGAAGGCTGGTGACATTGGCCGAGGCCCAGTCGTGGAGGCCCTGACAACCTGTCACGGGGACCCAAGAGACGGTGGAAAACCCATGGCTTTCCCTTGGAAAATGATCCCCATGTTGGCGAACAGTCAACCAAAACAGTGATTTCTTTTGGCTTCCGAGTTTCCGGGAAAGTCTTGCTTTGTCCAAGTCTGGAAGTGAAAATGAAGGTTTCATCAGCACCAATGTTTGTTTGATCAAGAAAACTGGTGGTTGAATATGGTTGAACCATGATGAACCTACATACTATTAAAATACAATAAACACATTGAAACCATTGGCTCCCAGCCCGTACCAAAAAAAAAGCAGTAGGCGCCCCAGGCCACAACTTGGTTGATTCACTTTCACCCATTCAAAGGTAGGTAGATAGATAGATAGATAGATAGATAGATACAAATAGAGAAATAGAGATAGAGATAGAGATAGAGATAGAGATAGATTAGATATACATACAGTATATACATATATATATATATACATATATATATACATATATATACATATATATATACATATGTATATATACATATATATATATACACATATACATATATGATTCGGTATCATATCCATCACCCATATCCAAACATACTATATACCCCAGTTACACCCACTCAATTTACCAAAGGCATGGGTCAAACTGAAACATGATATGAGGAGACATTAACCACCCTTATAATCCTTATATAAGGTCATGAGTTAACCTATTTGGAGGGGCTACCTTATATGAAATGTCATCCAGCCCCATCCAGCCCCCATCTGCAATGTAAGCTCTCTCGGTCGCCATTTTGGCTGGTGATAGAAATTACAAAGCACCTGATACATGGGACATTTCAACAACTCAACAAAATGGCGATATGTATCATCTAAAACAGTCTTCCCTTGAAGGGATTTAATGTCGCCAAAGAACAAGCGCTCCACTAACAACAAATTGGGATACGTGCCAAAAACCATTTGAGCAACACCGCGCTGTTTGGCGTTTCAACCTATCTCAACAACATGAAAGTCCATCACAAACACCACCCCAAGCAAAATGGAAATGATGTGACCACCAACCAGGATAATCTTGATTATCCATAATTATCATTCGTTATCCACATCCCAGTATGATTGACAGGTGACGCCCCATTTGTGATCCATAAGGGTCCCCACAATGAATAAAAAAGACTACGGAACCAAGGTTTCAAAAAGAGCCTTTCACACGTTAACATTACAGGGAATGGATTTCGAAACAAACATCTTCAGATTTGGCCTTCCACTGGGTCATCAATACGCCAACGAAACAGCAAACCTTCGCCGGTAGGTTTTGGTGTCGCTGGGGAGGTGTTTCGAGGATCAGGAAGGGGAACAATGACCAGCCTTGAAATACCTTGCCTCTTGCATGAGCTCTGATCAAAACCGATAGTGGCCATAAAACATACACCTGGTCTCCTTTGTTCTCCCGTGGCCGGTGTCCACCTAAAAACTCTCCATCCAACTGAACTTATCATCTTAGATACATATAGAGATATACAGTACAGTAGAGATGGAAAATTCATCCACCAACCAGTTCGGATGTTCCTCAATCGGCATCATTCCACAGAATTGGGCCTCAACAAGGAAGAAAATCATAGAAAATCCCGTGGTTCATCGTGTTTCCCATGAACCAGTAAGCATCCCCAAACAAACTCAATGTCCACCCCCAACGAGGCCTCCGAGGCCTCCGAGGCCTTCCAAGCCACTTCCACTGCTCAAACGTAGGTCTACATCGATGGTCTCCAGGGTCCTTTGGATGACAGGTCCCAACTGGTGGAGACACCGCATAGGTCATAGCTATCATGCGCATTTCATTGGGATTTGATGGGAGGTATGTGTGTGTGTATGTATTATGTATATATATATATATATAAATAGGCATAATACATATCATATTGTATTATATATATAGGCATAATACATATCATATTGTATTATCTATATATATAGGCATAATACATATCATATTGTATTATATATATATATAGGCAAAATACATATCATATTGTATTATATATATTTAGGCAAAATACATATCATATTGTATTATATATACATATAGGCATAATACATATCATATTGTATTAAATATATATAGGCATAATACATATCATATTGTATTATATATATAGGCATAATACATATCATATTGTATTATATATATAGGCATAATACATATCATATTGTATTATATATATAGGCATAATACATATCATATTGTATTATATATATAGGCATAATACATATCATATTGTATTATATATACATATAGGCATAATACATATCATATTGTATATATATATATATGCATAATACATATCATATTATATTATATATATATAAACAACATGAATACATACAACTAATATATTACTAATTTAGATAATATGGTCTACAAAACGAGGATATTGAGCAACAACTGGATGGGTCGAACCATACCAATATGAACCCAATGGGGGTTCATTCCATTGTCATCCTCAAATGACACATCTGGAAACTGCCAGTTTCCATCTGCTCTAATCACCTGGAGGCTTGGGCAGTTTGGGCTTGTGAAACAGTACATCTACAGCATCTAACATGTGATTTTCATTGTTTTTTCAGATTCATCATGCATATTTATCACGCCCGGGTGGGATCATCCCATAAATGGGACTGAAATCACTGAAACAACTCAAACAGAATTGAAACACATATTGAAACTGAAACTAATACAGGAACTCCTATCACCCGTTCCCCCAAAGACTCTGTGCCAAGCATCTGGGGAAACACTTCCACGCCCGCCAAATGGATGGCACGCGGCGACAGGCTATGGAATTGCACCGCTCTGATTAGCCCTCCTGCGGCTGGATGTTCTGCAGAAGCTGCAAATATCTATAGAAGGGGCAGAATCAAAAGCCAAGGTCCCCAAATTTCACTGTTTTGGAGGTGACTTTTAAGCCTATCTGCTAAGCATTTTGACTCTGCCCCAGGAGAGAAAAAAACACTTACAGTAGGGGGTGGTCTTTTTGGCCACAAAAAGTAACCCGCCAACTAGAAGAATTTCCGCTTGGCGCCTCCCTGGTACCAGTCGAATTTCAGCTGGTGCACGGGATGAGTTCTCTGATCGAAGCGGTTGTCGACCAGGACCGACACCCTGCGAGACCTGCCAGGAAAAGAATGGTCTCCGGGTCCTTGGTAAAGTACACCTTCAAAACATGGTTCATGTGGGTATATCATGCTATATCATGGTGCACCTCATTCTTGACCAACAGTTGACAACGCCACCTGTCTTGCCATGTCCTTCCCGCCTTTGCGACGGTACTGTGGCAGCAGGTACTGCGACAGTGAAGGGCGACAAACCACTGTGATCTGCCAGCAGCATGCCATCCACGGCCACAAGGCATCGCATCACACCTCAACGCCCGGTGAGGGTAGGATTCCCACAATGGGGACATGGCAAAGCCTTCTATACCCAGAATGGATGTAAAACACTCACAATGGAGATATCACATGCATAATTGCAGAATGGATTGCAGCATGTACATGATGGAACATGGTATTTATGTCGACCACCAAGAACAACAACTGAATTGGCTTTGTTTACCCCATAACTTGTGTGTGCGACCTTGGGATGGCTCTACCTGACCAGTGTCAATGGATTGACTTAAGGGAGCTGAAACCGTGTTTTTTCCCCTCGAATATAGGGGTTTCCTCTATGTTTCTTCCATCATCCAATTTTAGGAAATCAGTTTGGGAACTCAAAAGAACCAGATTTTTACACACACACACATGTCTGCCATGATTTTGGCCTTAATTGAGCTCTTTAGCTCTCTACTTCACTTGGAGGGCTTTTAATCATGCCTGGCTTCGAGAACTATGACCACTGCCAATGATATGGCCAGTCGTGCAAGGCTGCGATCCCTCATGTTCTCCCTGGCATATCCCCATTCCCATCATTTGGGGAATCATATCCCCATTGTGTCCCAAATCAATTCTTAACTTATCCCCGTTGTATCCCACTATATCTGGCAATGATTAATGAATTCCGATATCCCATTACATATTTCTACAATGTGTATATATACATACACTGGTAGGACAAAAGTTGCGCTTGTTGAGCTTCCCACAGTGAACATGGTTGGTTTCTTCTTCTGCACACCCTTTCCCCGTAGAATCCTAGCATGGAGCTTTGTCGTACCCCGGTCGCATTCCCACCCTCCAAAAGCTTTAAAATCTTATATATTTAAAAGAGGGGGATAATTGACCGTCCCACACCTGCCACACAAAACGGACTTGAAAATGTGATCCGCGGTTGACCGAAATGGATGTTTTGTAAAGCTTTCAAGAAGCATAAACTTTGTTCCTCCTGAAGGGCACAAAAAGCTTATTGAGTGGGGATTGCCAAGTCATTTGCTGATTTTTGCACCTGCTTCAGCTTGGTCATTACTCCACATAACATGCCTGTCTCCATCCTCTTTGTCCGCACTGCTACACATGTGCCGTGACGCACTGGTAGGACAAAAGTTGCGCTTGTTGAGCTTCCCACAGTGAACATGGTTGGTTTCTTCTTCTGCACACCCTTTCCCCGTAGAATCCTAGCATGGAGCTTTGTCGTACCCCGGTCGCATTCCCACCTTCCAAAAGCTTTAAAATCTTATATATTTAAAAGAGGGTGATAATTGACCGTCCCACACCTGCCACACAAAACGGACTTGAAAATGTGATCCGCGGTTGACCGAAATGGATGTTTTGTAAAGCTTTCAAGAAGCATAAACTTTGTTCCTCCTGAAGGGTACAAAAAGCTTATTGAGTGGGGATTGCCAAGTCATTTGCTGATTTTTGCACCTGCTTCAGCTTGGTCATTACGACCGGGGTACGACAAAGCTCCATGCTAGGATTCTACGGGGAAAGGGTGTGCAGAAGAAGAAACCAACCATGTTCACTGTGGGAAGCTCAACAAGCGCAACTTTTGTCCTACCAGTGCGTCACGGCACATGTTTAGCAGTGCAGACAAAGAGGATGGAGACAGGCATGTTATGTGGAGTAATGACCAAGCTGAAGCAGGTGCAAAAATCAGCAAATGACTTGGCAATCCCCACTCAATAAGCTTTTTGTACCCTGCGTCACGGCACATGTGTAGCAGCGCAGACAAAGAGGATGGAGACAGGCATGTTATGATTCCCACCCTCCAAAAGCTTTAAAATCTTATATATTTAAAAGAGGGTGATAATTGATCGTCCCACACCTGCCACACAAAACGGACTTGAAAATGTGATCCGCGGTTGACCGAAATGGATGTTTTGTAAAGCTTTCAAGAAGCATAAACTTTGTTCCTCCTGAAGGGTACAAAAAGCTTATTGAGTGGGGATTGCCAAGTCATTTGCTGATTTTTGCACCTGCTTCAGCTTGGTCATACTCCACATAACATGCCTGTCTCCATCCTCTTTGTCTGCACTGCTACACATGTGCCGTGACGCAGGGTACAAAAAGCTTATTGAGTGGGGATTGCCAAGTCATTTGCTGATTTTTGCACCTGCTTCAGCTTGGTCATACTCCACATAACATGCCTGTCTCCATCCTCTTTGTCTGCACTGCTACACATGTGCCGTGACGCACTGGTAGGACAAAAGTTGCGCTTGTTGAGCTTCCCACAGTGAACATGGTTGGTTTCTTCTTCTGCACACCCTTTCCCCGTAGAATCCTAGCATGGAGCTTTGTCGTACCCCGGTCGCATTTCCACCCTCCAAAAGCTTTAAAATCTTATATATTTAAAAGAGGGTGATAATTGACCGTCCCACACACACAAAACGGACTTGAAAATGTGATCCGCGGTTGACCGAATGGATGTTTTGTAAAGCTTTCAAGAAGCATAAACTTTGTTCCTCCTGAAGGGTACAAAAAGCTTATTGAGTGGGGATTGCCAAGTCATTTGCTGATTTTTGCACTGCTTCAGCTTGGTCATTAACATGTCTGTCTCCATCCTCTTTGTCTGCACTGCTACACATGTGCCGTGACGCAGGGTACAAAAAGCTTATTGAGTGGGGATTGCCAAGTCATTTGCTGATTTTTGCACCTGCTTCAGCTTGGTCATTACTCCACATAACATGCCTGTCTCCATCCTCTTTGTCTGCACTGCTACACATGTGTCGTGACGCACTGGTAGGACAAAAGTTGCGCTTGTTGAGCTTCCCACAGTGAACATGGTTGGTTTCTTCTTCTGCACACCCTTTCCCCGTAGAATCCTAGCATGGAGCTTTGTCGTACCCCGGTCGCATTCCCACCCTCCAAAAGCTTTAAAATCTTATATATTTAAAAGAGGGTGATAATTGACCGTCCCACACCTGCCACACAAAACGGACTTGAAAATGTGATCCGCGGTTGACCGAAATGGATGTTTTGTAAAGCTTTCAAGAAGCATAAACTTTGTTCCTCCTGAAGTATATACCTATATATGTATGTATCCCACTAATGGTTAATGACAGCCAAACTATATCCCACTAATGGTTACTAAGTTACTATCCCCATAAAATGAATCACGCCAGGCTGCCACGCCAAACGACAAGTTCCGGACAAGCATCAAGCACCAAACAGCAGAACAGCGTTATTGACCGCCGGCACCTTGGGGCTGGAAACACCCCACCTCCAACTCTCCGAGATTGGTTTCGGATTGGTGATTTTAAGCATGGTGACTTGGGGATGCTCCAATTCAAGAACCCCTCAATTTCAACAAGGGGGGGATTGTAAACATTACCACTCATACCACTCATATTCAAACTACCACTCATATCCCAGATTGTAAACATAGGGAATTCATGGTATATCTAACAACCCACTGGAAAAAAAAAAACGCAGAACCTGGGGTCATCGTCCCAAAAGGCTCACTGAACCGCTGTTTCCTGGGGGCACACTGTGTAAATCAAATCACCCCTGTTTTGGAACATGAGCATCGAACCATATTGAAACTATATCAATCCCTGGTGGACATTACACTATTACTCAAAGTTGCCCTTCCACAGAGTCCAGCTGCACCCACAAGATACACATTTTTGAAAAGTTCTATGTTGTGTGGCCATTGGGGCTGTGAGGCACATTTCTCTCCATTGGTTCAATTCTTTGTTTTGCTGCTTCAATTCCCAGTCCACTTTATCCGCATGTCTGATGATCAGTCACGCATGTCAGTTTTCAATAGTTTTCAGTGGTTTCATGTTCATCACACCCCTTTTCTTCCCTTCCAGATTTGGTTTCAATTTCAAGAAATTTCACAGGAAACCTTAGGGCAAAAAATCCATTGCTACCCCATTAACACCTACACAAAATCACATTCGACACCCATGATACCCATGAAATCCTCATGTGGTTCTGGCTGAATCATGCATACTGACTATAGATGACTATAGTACTGTCTGCCATCTTGGGAAAGTTGCCACAATCCAATTCCCATCATTTCACTGACGTCGCGGCGCGAGGTGGTTAAATCCAGAAATAAAGCCGTTTCCACCATTTTGTGGTTCCCTATGGTTACCCCATAAATTCCCTGGAGCCAACACCACGCCACTTCCACGTCCGTTTCATACAGCGCAACACCACGCCGATGTCGTAGCGAGTCCTCAGTGCTAGGGAGATGAAAGCATAAAGCTGAAGGAGAAGAGCCCGGCGCAAAGAAGCTATATATAGTTCGAAAAAAATCTAGGTCGGGCAGGTCCTTGTTTCGGAGTGAGGTCGGGTAAGCTCGTTATAATTTGCCTAGACTCATATAATTCTCCGGGTTATATCATGCTATATCCCAACTTAACCAACTGCACCCCCAAATACCGGCATATCTGTCCATCTGGCTAGCTTCTGCAGGATAGGTGAAGGTCAAGGACAGCCAGGGTTCTATGAATGATCAGCACGCATAGGGAACTATGATCCGCGTTACATATTCCTGCAACAATGTGCCTTTCTATTAAGGACATGTAAGGACACCTTTGCTTCTTAAATATAACATTTAGATACATTTAGAATGTTTTAGGATCCTCATCTTGAGAAGATGTTGGGGCAAAAGCTCGACACAAAGAGGTGACTGTTGATTCGGAACGTCTAAAAATTCAGGATCTAGCCCTGATGAATGGTCATTTTCATGCGGGGAACATGTATATCTCAGATATCTCAGTTCTGGACTAAAATGATTCAACACATACAGGATGGGGCCCCTCAGTTATAAGTTGGTTTATAAACCATTATAATCCCCACTAACTACAGTTATATCTACCATAAACCATTGTGAAGCCACTGATAAACCAACTTAGCTATCTTGGGGGCCCATCCTGTATAATTTACACTGATCCCTCGTGGTCTCCCAGATGCCGATCAGACACTTGGCCGCAGCAATTTTCAAAGGCCACGTCTTTGTGCTCCTGGCACCGGCACTGGAGCATCCCCAGCACCAGCAACAACAGCATCAGCAAGAACAACAAAAAACACATTACCTTCTGGTAATTTAACATAGCTATTGAACATGGCCCATTTATAGATTATTTACCTATTAAACATTGCCATTTTCAATAGCTATGTTAAATCATCAGAGGGTAGCTACAATTATATACATATATAACCAGAATAAGAACACGGCAAATCAAAGAACAATGTTATAACAATCATTAACAACGGCATTTATAAGGAGAGGCCACAGTGGAACATCACCCCAGCCCGTTGAGGCAACTCCTCAGAACAACTTTTCAGGAGCTGGTGGCAGAACTTGGAGAACTTGCCACAAGGTTCAGGCCGAAACTTTGGATGTAAAAATAGTTTCCATTCACTTTGAACATTAGACCCTCAAAAAAAACAATCAAATGCATTTATATAAACTACATACGGAACGAACCAATAATTTTCCCTAAATTCCACAAACAGCTTCTTGGTGAAAACCAATTTTTCATAATCTTTCGATACGTTAATCAACCTCCCCAGCTTTGCCCCGCCATCCTTTGGCAGTGACTTCCAGCACAGCTCGCTGCCGCGGAAACCAAAGGCGCGGCTGCAGCAAAGCTGGCAGAGTTCGTGGTCCACTTTCTGGTCCTTCAGAGTTTGGTCCATCGCCATCGATATGCGGGGATCTGTTGGCAAAAAAACATCTGTTGTTGGTCCGATCTTCTGAATCAATATCCGTCCGAATCTGGTAGGTTGCCTTTCCGCGTGACATAGGATTGGCATGATTGTGACACTGAAATGCGAGGAAGTTCAGCACATCTTCCTTCAAACCCATTCTGGGATCCGATGCTAACAGGTGGATGCAACATACATAATTCCAACATCAAACATGATCAAACATGGGGATTGGGCCAGCCTGAGCCACTAAGCTTGGGAGTTGCTTTTTGGTGCTACCTCCATCGGATCCTCCAAGGGCCAACAATGGTGGCATCGAGGCCGCTCCGGGCGCATGTCAAAGGCATCCGGCACCTCCACAGCTGTTGTGGCAACCTCTTGGGCCTTGGCGAATAGCAGTGCAAGATCCTCAAACAAAATGGTGATTTCATTGGGGTTGTTAAACAACAATGGTAGCAATTTGTGATTTGGCGGCAATCATCTCAATGTAAGAGTTTGAAAGGATATCTTGACCTTGGTACAATAATAATTAACATGTGTTTTTTCCCACTAAAACTTGGCCAGTCAATCTGCTGTCTCCGTCAACAAACATGTTGACCTATGCCACAGTTTAATCAACACCAGCTTTTTGTTGGCTTACATCCCTGCTTATTCTTGTGGGTGAAATGTCGAATTTTGCATGGCGAAATCTTTGTTCTTGTACGGCAATACATCATTTTTGCATTCTGAAACTCTTCACTATTCGTCGCAGGCGGCTTCATCCTAACTTGTTTGGTTATAAATACGTCTTTTTGTTGGTTGACATCATTTGAAATCCGAACGTTGGAGAATTCCCGGCCTCTATTGGGGGGTAACTTCCCATTCTTGATGGTCATATCACAATGTTTGTTGGTCAAACCACCATTTTTCTTCGTCAAATAACATCTTTTCTTCATTAAATCCAGTAACTCAATTTTTTTCTTGGTGAAATCTTCATTTTTTCTGGTTCAATCCCCGTTTTCCCATGGTTTCCTTAAGAGAACGCCCACGGAAATTTCCCAGCGCCAGCTCCAAGGCACCAGGAGCTGCACCTCTAAGGCGACTTGGCCCAGAAAGGCAAAGCGCCAGGTGCCGTTCAGGACGTGCACCTGCGCCCGGGCGCAACTTGTGGCCATGGTTTTTCTTCGTGAAATAACTGGTGATTTCTATTTAAAAAAAAACATGCTGTTGGTTAATGACGATTGTTAATGTTGTTCTTTGATTTGCCGTGTTCTTATTCTTCTTATAATGCCAACACCGGATTAATAACCCCCCCCCAGAAGGTCAGAACTCTACCTTGTAGGTCCCCCCCCCTTAAGCACCCTAAATAATAATAAACGGCCTCTGAACCATAAAATTTTGGATATGGCTTACGTCAATTGGCTGAAAGCTATAATTGTGTCAGTTGTTGTAACTTGTTTTTCTTGATGTTCTAAAAAATAAAGTGGTTGGAAGTTGCGATGAGTTGGTAGCATGTTGGTTACACTCAAATTAGTTTGCAGCCCCATCCAAGTATGGATATATGCACCGCCTAGTTAGCCATAGTTAGCCAGTTCGCCTCATTATCACGTTTCCTTAAACCTTGCTCTTCAATTCACGTGTTTTTTTTGTTTGTTTTGGTGCATTTTTCAGCATATGGTTTCGAGGCAAGTTTTAAGCCATGGTTTGGCAATGGATATGTTATTTTATTTTATGATATTTTATGATATTGTATTTTTTGCTATGGGGTTGGTATTATCTCATCCCAATGTCCTCAAAATAGAAAATGATAAAACACAATATATATATATATTATAATAAATTATAAGTTATCCGTAGAAGCCTTGATTAGAGCCCCTGTGAATAGCTCGCCAGAGATGAAGAAAGAAAACATTGTTAGCAAATTTCAGCAACCAAGAAACACAACACTGCGGATTTCACTTGGGTCAGAAGCGCAATGATATGAAACAATTGCCATTCTGTGTTTCATAAACTTTCACAAGGAGACAGATGCTTTCCAACAAACAAATTCAACCAGAGACGGGGCAGTTCGGTTTTTCAAAAGCTGGGATCTGACCAGCAAAAATGGGGCCATGGAACAAAAACACATCTTCTGAACTAACCTTCTGCGTTCCCGCCTACCCTGAGAGGTAGGTCTAGAACATTTTCATCAAAACCTTCTCAAAGTTGGATCACTCTTTGACCATGACAGGGGATTCTGGCAAGCTGTGCTGAGCTATCCTTCAGGCAAGTAATGAGTGAGGTGGTTGGACCAGCGAGTGGAAACAACGGTTTCCTCCACTCCGTTGTTCATTGGCAGCCCTTCGCTGCAATTTATGTTGACGCCTTAAACAGAAAACACAAACCTTGTGCAAATCATCCCATGAGATGGAGATGCAAACGGATTGCATTGGTCATATCATGTCATAATTCACATCCACAATCATGTTTTTTCTTATGTTGTGTCCATTGTATCCACATTCTTGTTGGTTGCGGTAATCATGCTTGTGAGCACCAGGCAATCTTACTGCACATGTCGCACCATACCTTCCCATACCTCAAAATACCTGATCATTTTGGCTTACCTTGCCTCACCTTGCATCACCTCGCGTTACAACCACATTGTATCTTCATGGGTTGGTGTTGGTTTATTCTTGTCAAAACCGGAAACACCATGAATCTTACCTGGCAAAAATGAGGGAATACTTTTGAAACTTGGTAACGTATATTGTTTCACAATTTTCCTATGGTTTCCTATGGTTTCCCATGGTTTTTCCATGTTTTTCCTATGATGTCCTACTAGTTTCCTCTTCCACCAATCTATAAAATCCCGGACTCCCTCGCACCTGTCGCCCAGGATATTTGGGCCAACTGGGTGGGTCCATCGGCCACGATTTCGCGACCTGACCCGCGACCGGATGTGGCCGAAATAGTTGTAACATACAACGGTGGTACCCCAGTTTGTTAGCTGGTTTATAAAATTAAAACAACTAGGTTTTTGCTTAATTTGTGGGGTATGCTCCTCAAACAACCATTGAAAAATGGACAATATCATAGACCATTGGATTTTTGGAGGACCCTATTGTCAATCCAACCCTTACAAAAGGTGTCATGACCATGTGGATGTAACCCTGTGAGGTTCTTGAAAATTTGGATGTTTTGGAAACGTGGCAGGTGTTATCCATTGTTTGCCGGCTCAGGAAGCCTCTGTTGTCAATCTGTTCTTGCAAGAACGACATGTTTGCGGGTCACTTGAAAGCTTGGCTGATCATCGGACCAAATAGTTTCTTGGTCACAAATTGCAACCTATTCGTTGTGTTCACACAATCAATGGAACATCCTTCCGAAACAATCCGGGTGGAATTTCTTTGAAATGAAAAAAATCCGGCTGGAACTTGCTAGTGTTTTGGTTCAAGTGGATACCCTTAAAACAAACACAGATATAAAAAACTCCACCAGTTTCAAATCATTTTCCAATGGGAAACCAGGGAAACCCACGGACTTCCGCCTGCATTTCGGGCGCCACCTGACCCAAGAAGAGGCATGCCAGCGCTGCGGTCCTACGGCGGAGATGGGGCCAACCAAATCAACAAGGAAGGATCGTCTCACTTCTTTCTCCCCCCCTCTATCTGATAGACTGTTTTCATAAACGTCTTATACAAAAATCATGGTTTGATGTGCGTATAGCCACACACACATATACTTATATATATATATGTATATATATATATATTATATATATATATATTATATATATATTACATATATATATATATAAAATATTGCATAGTTTGATACGGTGACTGGTGACTCACTATATATAGTTGGCACAGTGGAGTGATCATCCCCTACTTAATGTTCGAACTGTCAGATAACAAAGTTATCACATGGTATCACTCATGTATACAGGAAAGGCATGCCCCACCTAGAAAAACTTACTATCCAATTATTAAGTGGGATGATATTCCAAGAAGGGTCTACTGTTCCTGTCTTCGTTCATGGAACGATTAAGGTGAAGGTGCTGTGTTGATGGTCATGAAATTATAAGCACATTCGGGCTCCCAAAACATTAAAAAAAAACGTGAGCCCGGGTTCCTGCCAGGCGCGGGTCCCTAGGTTTTATCAAAATTACTACCTCCTCCTCCTCCTCCTTCCTCCTCTCCTCCTTCCTCCTCCTCCTCTCCTTCTTCCTCCTGTTGGACCTCAGCTGCGGGCTCCAGATCCCAGTGGGCACTGCCGGACTTCAACCGCGAGCTCCAGATCTCAGTGGGCACTACCGGACCTCAACCGCGAGCTCCAGATCTCAGTGGGCACTGCCAGATCTCAACCGCGAGCTTAAAAGAATATCAGATAGAAGGCCAGAATAGAATGTCAGAATAGATGCCAGATAGAATGCCAGACAAGAATGTCAGATAGAATGTCAGAAGGTATATACCATTTTATACAACACATACTTCCAGATGATACGTCAGAAATTATGACAGAATGATTTATCAGGGTGGGGATCACTCGAAGTAAAGACGTTTTTTCACTGCAGTTCATGTCATCTCTCTGGGACTGCTATACGCCGGCCCTCCGGTATTTCGATCCCATGGTCTACCGTGAACTTTCTGTAATTACTTCATGGCCATAGATCATAGATTGGAAAGCCCATGGCCATCATGGTTTTGAGCGAACCCACCTCCTACCTCCTACCTGGCTGAATCGTACCGTATAAGTTTTATTAAATGTTCCTCAGCAGGAAAAAAACTTTGTGGTTTAGAGGTGGAGTCACCTTCACCAACAATAATTTTCTGTGATGTCAGCCAGTGAGGTGGTTGAATTCAACCAAATTTTTGAAAGGTTAATTACCCCCAATTCCAATGGATTGTCATCAGCCATTCCCTGGATTTCCCTGGTGACCAACTGCCAGGAACCAGTCCATCGCATCAATAAAGCAATGGGTGGCCTGGGGAAATCCCCATTGTTCAATTTACGAGTGTTATTATCTTCCATTACGACATGATAATTGAAAAATCAGATCACTCCAGTCTATACATGATATATATATATATATATGTATTATATCCTTTGTTACTGACTGTAGATATCATGATTGCATCGCCCCATGATATAGTCCAAGGAGATATGGCTCGGATTCAATTCGTTAGTTCAGCCCGGTATTCACCCCAAGTTATTGCTGGGATTCTATGGATGTTCATCCTCCCCAAATTCGGTATTTCATGGGTTTTGACCCATCCATAATGTGGCAAATCCCATCATAAACCGTCCCTTTTTTTTCAACCGTGACTTGGGAGGTCGTAATAAACGTCATCCCAATCATCCCACTGCTAGGGGTATACCAAATTCGCAAACCTCTATTGGGGATGTGTGAATGGCGATTTCATGCAATCTTTGGGTTTGCCAAACATGGTCTTACGAGTCTTACTGGCTTCCCAATAAACCGGGGTAAGAAAAAAATAGTGCAGTATCTAATGTTCGGACAATTCTTGGACGGATGGGTACCAACAAGGTTGCCAATATTATTGGATGGTTCCCAATTGTACCTGGCTTTTGGATGGGTTTACCACATTATTTCGATACAAGGGCCATCCAAAATCGAACCTCAGAACCTCGTCCTCGTCCATCGCCGAGGCACTGCCTCCATGGCTCGACGGCATCGCTGGACAAGGCCGCGCTTGCGCGCTAGTGGGGCTGTTGATGGAACACGAATATAGTTAAAACATGTCAAAACAGGTTAAAAACCCTTGAAGCCATTGGTGTTTTGTACTGGTAAACAACGTTACAGTTTTGCTTGCAACACATGGTTTTATTTCCAAAAGTAAATTTTGGATGCTTGAACGGATCGTTTTTTGCTATTGAAGATCACTGAAGGTGCTTGGACCGGGAATATGGAGCTTTCAGCTGCACAGGTGCCATTCAATTCTGGGACAATAATATGAATGCATTTGGTCGAGAACTTACTTGGCATGGTCCTCATCAGTGGTTTTGGGGGAGAGGAATTCATCACTTTAACATTCAACATGCCCCAACCAGTGTACCACTGCTATGTGGCAGCAATGATGACACTGTTCTGACTAAGGCAATGGTTGATCATTTGTACCCTCCGGTACTCAACATGGTTGGCACAAAAATCCGTTTATAGATGATTTTCCCATCAAAACCATTTATAACATCGATTTCCAGCTAGCCATGTTTGATTACCAAGAGGTAAACCATGCTCATATTAGTTGAGGAGTTGAGGAACTACAAGTTGCCTTGCGTAGTATGCGCATTCATGGTCGAGTGTTGCACCCAAATCCGGTGCAGCAGTACCGAAGTGGACTGATTTGCATTGAGTCCTGTAGCAAACAAAACATCAGTTCAAACCATATCAACAACCATAAAGTTAGTAAAAGTTAAGACAATTAAACAATCATATATATATATATATATATATTGCTGTTGGTTAGCCCCATTCTTGCTGCCAGTGTGCTTCCATGTTTACATTCAACATCAGCACTGGCTTTTTGCATGCCATGCAGAGTCCGTCTCCATACGAGATTCATTAGGGGCGGATCGGTCAAGCCCAATCAGTTTAGATCAAGCTGTCCCTGCCAATTTCCATCTCCGGTTGGCTCCATTCCCAGCATGTCCACAAGATTCCACAAGTATCTTGGTGCGCTTTGCTTTTGGGTTTGCTATCTTTTTAAACCTCAGCGTTTTCAATTCTGATATATTCTGATCCTCCGATTGGCACATTTTGGGTCTGTGTTTCTGGCACCCTCCGGAACTATAAAAGTAATACAATAACATATTTAGCCGCTAGTAGATCTACAACTATTAGTTTGCCATAAGTTGGTGTATAACGCCTTTTTTTTTTGGCAGGCATAGTCCTTTCTAGTTGCTGAGTTTTTTCCACACCAGCTATGGTGGTTTATTATGGGTTCTGAAGGGCCATTGATGACAGTATATATGGTTATTAATAGGGATTTGCAACACCAACATAGTCCTTTCTAGTTGCTGAGTTTTTTCCACACCAACTATGGTGGTTTATTGTGGGTTCTGAAGGGCCATTGATGACAGTATATATGGTTATTAATAGGGGTTTGCAACACCAACATAGTCCTTTCTAGTTGCTGAGTTTTTTCCACACCAACTATGGTGGTTTATTGTGGGTTCTGAAGGGCCATTGATGACAGTATATATGGTTATTAATAGGGATTTGCAACACCAACATAGTCCTTTCTAGTTGCTGAGTTTTTTCCACACCAACTATGGTGGTTTATTGTGGGTTCTGAAGGGCCGTTGATGACAGTATATATGGTTATTGATAGGGATTTGCAACACCAACATAGTCCTTTCTAGTTGCTGAGTTTTTTCCACACCAACTATGGTGGTTTATTGTGGGTTCTGAAGGGCCATTGATGACAGTATATATGGTTATTAATAGGGATTTGCAACACCAACATAGTCCTTTCTAGTTGCTGAGTTTTTTCCACACCAACTATGGTGGTTTATTGTGGGTTCTGAAGGGCCATTGATGACAGTATATATGGTTATTAATAGGGATTTGCAACACCAACATAGTCCTTTCTAGTTGCTGAGTTTTTCCCACACCAACTATGGTGGTTGATTGTGGGTTCTGAAGGGCCATTGATGACAGTATATATGGTTATTAATAGGGATTTGCAACACCAACATAGTCCTTTCTAGTTGCTGAGTTTTTTCCACACCAACTATGGTGGTTTATTGTGGGTTCTGAAGGGCCGTTGATGACAGTATATATGGTTATTGATAGGGATTTGCAACACCAACATAGTCCTTTCTAGTTGCTGAGTTTTTTCCACACCAACTATGGTGGTTTATTGTGGGTTCTGAAGGGCCATTGATGACAGTATATATGGTTATTAATAGGGATTTGCAACACCAACATAGTCCTTTCTAGTTGCTGGTTTTTTTCCATCAAACCAACTATGGTTGGTTTTATTGTGGGGTTTCTGAAGGGCCATTGAGACAGTATCTATGGGTTATTATAGGGATTTGCAACAAAAACCACATAGTCCTTTCTTCTAGTTGCTGATTTTTTTTTCACACACCACTATGGTGGGGGGGGGGGGGTTATATTGGTGGGTTCTGAGGGCCATTGAAATGACAGTATATATATCTTGTTATTAATAGGGAATTTGCAACACCACAATAGTCCTTTCTGAGTTGCTGAGTTTTTGTTTCCACCCAACCTATGGTGGTTTTATATTGTGGGTTCCCTGAAGGCCATTGATGCAGTATATATGGTTATTAATAGGGATTTGCAACACCAACATAGTCCTTTCTAGTTGCTGAGTTTTTTCCACACCAACTATGGTGGTTTATTGTGGGTTCTGAAGGGCCGTTGATGACAGTATATATGGTTATTAATAGGGATTTGCAACACCAACATAGTCCTTTCTAGTTGCTGAGTTTTTTCCACACCAACTATGGTGGTTTATTGTGGGTTCTGAAGGGCCATTGATGACAGTATATATGGTTATTAATAGGGATTTGCAACACCAACATAGTCCTTTCTAGTTGCTGAGTTTTTTCCACACCAACTATGGTGGTTTATTGTGGGTTCTGAAGGGCCATTGATGACAGTATATATGGTTATTAATAGGGATTTGCAACACCAACATAGTCCTTTCTAGTTGCTGAGTTTTTTCCACACCAACTATGGTGGTTTATTGTGGGTTCTGAAGGGCCATTGATGACAGTATATATGGTTATTAATAGGGATTTGCAACACCAACATAGTCCTTTCTAGTTGCTGAGTTTTTTCCACACCAACTATGGTGGTTTATTGTGGGTTCTGAAGGGCCATTGATGACAGTATATATGGTTATTAATAGGGATTTGCAACACCAACATAGTCCTTTCTAGTTGCTGAGTTTTTTCCACACCAACTATGGTGGTTTATTGTGGGTTCTGAAGGGCCATTGATGACAGTATATATGGTTATTAATAGGGATTTGCAACACCAACATAGTCCTTTCTAGTTGCTGGGTTTTTTCCACACCAACTATGGTGGTTTATTGTGGGTTCTGAAGGGCCATTGATGACAGTATATATGGTTATTAATAGGGATTTGCAACACCAACATAGTCCTTTCTAGTTGCTGAGTTTTTTCCACACCAACTATGGTGGTTTATTGTGGGTTCTGAAGGGCCATTGATGACAGTATATATGGTTATTAATAGGGATTTGCAACGCCAACATAGTCCTTTCTAGTTGCTGAGTTTTTTCCACACCAACTATGGTGGTTTATTGTGGGTTCTGAAGGGCCATTGATGACAGTATATATGGTTATTAATAGGGATTTGCAACACCAACAAACATATCCAACATCCCTGGCCCATCCTGGCCCCGATCCGCGCCGGCGGAATGATCGACTCTTTGGTCCCTCTATTGTGCGCCCATTTCGCGCAAGGCCTTCAGACGCTGCTCCGCCTCCGCCTGGGGAAAATGATGGTAGAACGCTATCACCTTTTGGATCCCAGAAAAACCGGACTTTCTGAGATGATGATGATTATATATTTATGGATTATACAGTCTATTTTCTAGGATTATTTGGGAGTTGATCATAATGGGATACAATGGATGGATATGGATGGATAGAATGGATGATGGGATGTATAACAAAGAATCTGATATGATTGGCGGTTGAGCCAGCTGAAGAATAGCAAACTCAAGAATATGATTAAATCATCGCATGTCTAATAATATCTTTTTAATATCTTGAAACCACTAGTCAGTAGCAAACTTAGATGGGTCATGGAGTTAGTTTCCTTGTTAGATGTGGTACGATGTGGTTGATAATCTGTGTATCCCTGTATCCCCTTCAAACTGGAAGTGAGTGGATACGTGTAATGGATTTCAATCCGCTTGCGAATCAGTTACAAACTCCGTGGCCCATTGTGTTTTTTTCATTAGGGTGCTGGATGCAGGATTCAGTCATGGAACAAAATGCGGTGACTTCAGCAAATGAAATGAACTGTATGAGAATCTCACTGATCTCACTGCTGATTTTTCAACAGCCCACTTTTCCCATGGTAAAATTCGTTTCCGTCACAATGGCAAAATCCATAAGTTGTTTCTTGTTAAACCATCACCAATTTCATTCGTTGACCTCTCATTTTCCATGCCTAATCTCAAATGTAGGATGAACATTTTCCATGCCTAATCTCATTTTCGATGCATTTCTATCCACATGCAAGTATTTCCTAAATATATAATGTGTCATTATTAATTACTATTATTGTTATTGTCATTATTGTCGTTACTCATAGGTATACACACATATACATATACATAATATTATAAGTTATAAGTATTAAATAAATAACTTGTCACATTCACACACACATATGTATATATATATATATGGATTTTGGAGCATGAACCAAGCGGCCTGCTCACTCAGGAGCTGCTGATGCAACTGCTGCTTCTCTTCCAACAAAGCCTGGCCCGCACCCGCGCGCCACAGCTGACGTGTTTGAAACACGGATGTACCACTTGGGAATGTTTTCAAAATTGCTTGGGATCGATTGGAATACTGTAACCTTTCAAACCCCAAAAATCGAAATTCATCGGGATAACTGGATAACCGCAAGCACAATTAGATTAATTAGTATATAAATATATTAAAAGATATATATATATGTTATATATATAATTTATCACTGAGTTGTGACTAAGCATGACCATCTAGTCCAACCTGACAATGGAAAATCCCGCACAACTCATGGATTCCTAGAGGGTAGCCCTCTGAAAATCCAACAAACACTTGAAAAGCCAGGACCCTAAAAGCACCGCCCAAAGCTCCGGTATTTTTTTCGCATGAAACTCATGTGATCAACCCATGAAAAATTCAATCCGACATCACCATGTTCATGGGCGGCATAACTATCCGCAGTCATGGTAGGTCTATTTTCCCACCAAAAAAAAACATGTATTTTCACCTAATACTATCATATATAGTCCATTAAAATCCATTAATAACCAATAAGATAATCATTTCTAGTCCATTAATAACCATTAATTGGCAACTTTCAGCCACAAAAAAAAGCCGCACTTCCCGCTTCAGCGCTTAAGCGCCTGCAAGGCCGACAGGACCTGTTCTGCCTCGCTGGTATCCATCTGGGCGGGATCAGCTGCGCAGAACGGCGGGTTTTTTGAAATATGAAAGGTGATAAAAGGTGCCAATAAAAATCATCATCATATCATAGTAGTATAGCAATATAAAGCAATAACATTGAACAAATCATAGTGATAAGGTCCATAATAGATATACCAATCACAAGAAAAAGAACACTATCGTACCAATAAAAACAACTATTTTTTGCCAGGGCTTCTCAACTATAATAATCACACAAATAAATAAGAACAATCACAATGTATATGGATACTATATACTGGTTCATAATCGAATCGTTAACATGGCCCAAACCGTTTTGGAAACCACGTCAAAACGAAGCAGTAACTGTTGGATGATCACTTGGGTTCCCCTATGGAAACGACCTGCGTACACACTTGGATCAAATTTGTGTGTGGCCCGGAGCCATGCAAAACAATCGTGCACCAATCAACCGACAGTTTTCTGAAAACACGCATATTCATCCACAAAAATGGAGGTTGATAATTTTGAATCATACAGTCTGGTGATTCTTAATATTCTTGATCCTGTCGAACCAATGCTCGAAACTCCCTGCGGCCATTTGAAATGCTAGCTGCCAACACTATCTGCCAACAAAACAAACCGTGGCTTGTTGCGGCTGAGCAACAACATCCGAACATAGAATACCCAAAATCTCATGGTTGACAAACTGATCATAATTTTCGCCGTCCAATGAACAAAAAATGTGACTTTCAGGTGTGTTATATCTTTGAAATTGATTCGGATTGGTTCGGGGCACTATCGGGCCCATACCAGCACCCAACGAATCATTGACCGTCATTGACTTGCTCCTCCCCATTTTTTTACCTGCTTAAACATCTCAAATGTCTTTGATTCTTCACGTTGAACCGGCTTGCCGCTTCCACGCTTTTGTCCTCGCAGCATCCATCAGTTCCCCTGGCCACAGACCAACATCAAGCCTTGGAGTTCGCCTAGGCTCGGCCGGTCCAAGGTCAGGCGTTTCTTGAAGGACGGGCGAAGAAAAGGTCCAGGAAATGCCGCCCTCGCGGCATCCCAGTGCTGAAGCGGCGCTGGGAGAATCAGGACTAGAGTCTAGTTTTAAGTATATTTGTATATTTGAAGATAAGAAAAACATCTAAACTTGTGTTTAATGATGAACAGAATAGCCTCAAATGACCTGGACCAAGTCATCCACCAAACGGAAGGTGTTTGAGCACTTGCTCCTCACGAGTTTGCAAGGCTCATCCATCATATTCACCCTCTTCCTCATCGAACTCACCTTCCTCTTCCGCAGTCGCATCCTGCATGGGTGGGTGGACTTGGCTTTGCCACGAGCGTAAACATGTTTAAAATTGTTTGTATACTAAACTGACTTGTTGCAGCTTAAGAACATCATGCAACTCCCAAGAGCCCTGGTGGATTCGAACATTCGAGCTGTATTTTTTCCAGGATTTGTCTCCTCACATCTGACCAGGAGTCCAGCGGATTCAACGGATTGATCTCAGGGAAACTCTAAAAGGTCCATGGCAAAACAATCCGCTTAAACCAAGCTTTCCTGGCTCAAACACCACTGGTGGTATTGAAAATGATTGAAATTTCCCTTTTCCCTTCCCCTTGTCCTGGTACTGCTGATACTCCGAGACCAAGTCGTTCATGTTTGACTCGGCTTCTGTGAACTCCATCTCCTTGGTGGATTTCCATGGTTGCTTTTGGCAATATTCCCATAGGCTACCCATTTCTGATGGGGTTTCCTGGCAAAACAAAACCAACAAAGATCTTAAGACTGCCCAAGTCTCATCCATACCCTCACCAGTGTACCAGTGCAAGAATGCCTTGCGACGGAACATGGCGGTGAAGTACCTCAAGGTCAGCAATTTCCAGGCCCATGGATCACGTTGGGTGCGTTGAGGGATCCCATAGAAATGCAACACATTCCGCTGAATACATCGAAGCCCTTGTGTAGACCAAAGATCAGACATAGATAACAAAATGACTTTAGAAATGACTTTAGATAGAAAAACGGGTTGATTGCCAACCAAAAAACATACCAGTATGACATAGATGACTTCAGAATGTTGATGTATGCCACAAACATTGATACTGACAACACACATTACAGCCAAGAACAACGAAAACAATACTGGACATGGCTCAAAATGAGGGTGCAAATGGACCCGTGCGTGGTCCACGAAGTTTCAAGCATTTGCGTTTGGCCAAAATTCTACTGTGAAGAGCCCCGATGGCTTTTGCAAAACAACACAGCACCATACAGCTTTGCCTCAAAACAGATTACCCCATGCCATCTGCTGAGAAATAATCATGTTGCCCACCATATCATTCAGCAACAGCTGATGCTTGATCTTCAGCAGTTTTTGCAGTGTTCTACCGGTCTACTTGGGAGGCAGCTCCATTTTTATGTGGATATATAACCATAGCCATAGATCATAGTATACAAATGTATACAATATTAATTCATTATACCCCAGTGATATATGGGGTATCTCCAGTTGTTAATGGTCGACAAACCACGGATCCAGTTGTGAGATGCACATCCAGCCCATGATTCATTGGGTGGTCAGGGACATTGAAAAAGGGACACCCCCATCAATTTCATGGGAACATCCCATGGTTTTCAGATGTTTTTGATGCATATTTTCGCTTAAACCACTCCAGTGAGTCAAGTTGAAAAAGTTGGAGCCCCATTCCAAGTACCTTAGCCTAACTTTCCTGAGATATCTTCCAAGATATCTTAGATATCTTAGAGAATCTTAGGAAAACCTTGGCTGGTTGATGGTTTCAACCCCTCTGAAAAATGATGGAGTTCGTCAATGGGAAGGATGACATCCCATATAATTATTATGGAAAATGAAGGCCATGTTTGAAACCACCTAAACCAGTTGGGCTTAGCTTGTGCAGCCCAGCGACTCCGCCACGCGTTTGAACATCTCCTGGATGGCCGTGGAGTTTCCGGCGAAGGCCACCGCCATCTTCAGGCCCTTGGGGGGGATATCGCAGACCGAGGCCTGGCGCGCAAAGTCGTAAACCCAGGCCGGGTCAACCCATGGGTAAAGTCATGGGTTTATGCCATTAGAAACTACCATTAGATCATTAGAATCCATTAGACTTCCACTATCTATCTATCATTAGAATCCATTAGATCATTGATAGATAGTGACATATAGTGACATATATGAATGTGGAATTATAGATGTGGAAAAACAACACTTTTATAGATCATGATGATCATTTTTCCGAACGGGAGACCATGGGTTTTATGGTTTTCCACATCGATGTTAGTTTACCCTAGGGTAATGAAGGAGGCATGTTGATGGGGAATCACATTAGAATCCTATGATAAATGATTCTGCCGATCACATATGGAGCAAAACAAGCAGAACAAACATAATATAGCTCTATAATATATATATTCTCATGGTTTTGAGATATTTAATATCATTTAATGGTGGGGCGTAAGAGATTGCAATGTACCAATTCAATTTCAAGTTACAATAACTTATATATTCATGTTGTATACAATGCTTGTATCATAATAGCTCATTCGATGTGGACTGAGTCATGCCCTTCGGGCTGAATTGACCAACCAAATGGATGACGAAACCAGTGAATGGCTGGAAAGACAAGTGAACATGTAGTCCCATCCCCTCCAGTATGGGTTTGCTTCAAAATGGAACATTTCTATGTGAAATAGATGGCATTTTCAAATATGTTCAATACGAAAACATTTGGTAAGGGGTTTGGGCTGTGATCACAACCCACCAAGAATGAGACTCTGGAGTTCTACTGCCCTGATTCTTTGGAACCCAAGATTGCACAGGCGGTCGCACCGCTCAATCGTTCAACTATACAGCCGGTCAGCGGGTTCTAAGCCGGGCGTCCGTAGGATATCCCCAGCTAAAAGTTCATAGCTGATGGCTCCATGTGGTCATCAATCATCATCAATCTGATGAAGATTAGATAACGCGTGGGAATACCATGGAATACCAATCTTGCGAAAGGTTCTTGCATCTAGTGTGTGCTTTCGAGAAAAGGTAAAGTGAACATAACAAGAAATCTGTTCTCAAAACTCCCTTGCCACTGGACCCTGTCGCCCTCTGGAATCACTTGTCGTCCCCGGTGCCCCACATCACTGATGTGCGCATTCCCCGTCTATCAAAGTGCTCTAATACATGCAATTCCCAAACATCAACATATGACATACACACACACATATATATATATTATACACTTATATATATAAATTATACACTTATATATATGTGTGTGTCAGATACATGATACATTTATTGATATATATATATATATCACACATGTATATATATATATCATATCCATCAACTGACCTTCCGAAAAAACACCGCACCAACGCCTTGATGTTGTTTGGAATCCACTCCACAAAGTAGGAGGAATTCTTGTTCTGCACGTTCAACATCTGCTCATCGACCTGGAATTCGTGCCGCATGATGACACTGAAGACTCACGGCAGGGACGAAAAGGGATGATAACTAATTAAGTGCAGCATGACTCTATATAAATATATTCCTGAAAAGCCCTGAAAAAACCATGCGAAAAGCCAGGTGCTTCCTATGGCTGGACATCCCACCTCCTTGGTCGACATCCGTCCACGGAACAAGGCCGCCGCCGTCAAGTAGCGACCATGGCGAGGATCGGCAGCGCACATCATGTTTTTGGCATCCTCAGTGAAGGATATGAAGTGATGCTACTGACCAGTTGTTTACCACAAACACAGGCATTTATACAAAGTGGTGCCTCCCAACAAGGTTTCAAACACCCCATCTACAGGAGTTCGATTGCCCCAAACCCGAGCTAGTGGAGTTATAAACCGACTGACTTAGCTATATAACTATGGACCACCACCAGATGTAATTTTGCCTGGCCAACCTGAGATACCCTGCAAGAACTGCCTGCTTTAGCGGGACATTTCCCTCATTCACCCACTTGACCATCTGTCTGACCAGGGGGGGAAAACTGCTGGTTCAAAAATACGTATTGAGAATTCCGCTTTCACTGCTTATGTCTCATTCTTGACACCTTTATCGCCACAGAACCAACCATTCACCAGTCAGTGGCATTCAACATTTTTTTCGAACACACACACACATATATATATATATATTAGTGTTTTTGAATTCCAATTCTAGGTGTTTTGTCATCGAGTCATCATATCTAAAATCATTCACCACGTGGGTTTGTCTGAAATAGGGTAATTACACAAAATCCCATGGGTATACAGCATTTTCAGACACACCCAAAGAGCAAACGGTTGGCTATATTTCCATTACATTCCGACGATCTTTTTTTGCTTATATCTCCATTTTACATTGTTCATTTGTTAAATCCTTCCTGTTAATGATAAAATCTTATACCCACAATTTTCCATAGTAAAAAAAATCCTTCACCGGGGAAAGAACATTGAAGAACTGGCAACATCCAACATCCAAGTCACAAACATCTGCTGCGTGAGCTCGGGCACGGTGAGCGCGCGGTACTGTTGTGAGCCGCGGGAAGTCAGCGGTGCGAAGCCCGTCATGAAGAAGTGCAGACGTGGGAAGGGCACCAAATTCACCGCAATCTTACCTGAGTCAGGGGGATTTGGATGATTTGCGGGGACTATACCTATACATAACATGTTAATTAAGTCCCATTAAATCAGATAGGTAGGATATCTAATGAGATATGGGCATCGCATAACTAACCTTGCCTGAAATTAGAATTTCAGGTGATGTTTACTGTTGATAGACCTATTCACATTTGAATTGCCGTGCTTCTTTTAATAAAGACATTGTATGATCCATGGCATAACCGATCTTACCTGAGTCGTGGAATTGGTTCATGGATCTTCTGCCAAATGTGCTGGTTTGCTTGCGCAATTTGCCTTGATAAACCAATTCCGGGGTTGAGGCTTAAAAGTGAGGAGAACTGATCAAAATAAGGACTTGACCAAAAGGATCTGAGATACAAGGTGGGACCCACAAGGTAGCTAAGTTGGTTTATAACTTTAAAAAGAATAGTTTATGATGGTCTTTGGTAGATATATCTATAGTTAGTCGGGTTTCAAAACTCACTTGCGTAAAACTGGGGGGGGCAGCTATGTTCAAAGCATGTATATATATATACACACACATATATATAATATGATATTAGTAGATTGCATTGTAAGAAGATGGGCCCTGCAACCATCTACCACCGATGCTCAGGCAATTTCAGGGCATATTGCCATCTTGAATGATTCATTGGCTGACCAGGGGTTTATCTATTTTTTGAAGGGTGGACTTTTTTCCGGGTTTTCCAAGGGGTTGAGCCGGTAAGGCTTTCGCGGGGTTCACAGGATGATGATGATGATGAGGAGGAGGACGACGACAACAACGGTGCTGATTACCATCTCCATTACCACTACAGTAGCATTTGCCATTGCCATGGTCAATGTGATGGTCATTGTCATTTTAAGGTATTATGTCATTATCATAATCTCTCATCATTCTTATGATGGTCAACAATATAATCACCGACATTTCTTGAGAACCACCCCAGGCTTCGTTCCATGTTGAGTGGCGCAGGTCGCAGTTCAACTGGCCCGGGAAACGCAAGCCGCACGTGACGCCGCTCATGGCTGCAGAGACCAAGTGGTTTAAATCTCCATAGGTTGGCCTCGGGCACGGCACCAGGAGCTCGGAGGTTGAAGGTGGTGATTGTTGGAAAACTAAAGGCTTCTTTTTGATGATGTGAAACACAAGCAAGTGTTCAAATCCATCTGTCAAAACTACATTTTCGGCGTTTTTGTTTGCGTGTGTTTGTGTTAGATTCATCATGATTCACCTACTGGTGAGGGATTTGCCAAAATAATGCATGGTCTAACAGTCATTTCATGCATGGTCTAGCGGTAAATAGTGGTAATTTCACCAATTTCTAACGCTAAGAAAGTCCCAAGAAAGCCCAAAGAAAGTCCAAAGAAAGCCCCAAGGAAGTCCCAAGGCACGTGGTGAGCTTCAGAGTGCGGAAGCAAATGTCATAGAGGGCCTGACAGGGCCGGATCCTGGGCCATCCTGGGCCTCTGGGTATCCAAGCAGCCGGAAAAATCACTTGGAAACTGTCAATCTGTAATGGATGTGGGACAAAAGCTCTCGTTTTAGGTGATGAGACCATGTTAAAGCTGAAAAATTCTTAAATAATTCATCATGTTTTGAGGCGCGTTCGTGACTGAGAAAACTCCACGTGCGGTTTCAGTCCATCCAAACAACAATAGCCAGCTGCATCATCATCTGTGGTAGTGCTGAATATTAAAGCATATCAAACCCACCAGCCGGTGCCAGCATATTTAAAAAGGAAGGTTTCAATCAAACCCATGATAACTGCCAAAAAATGCGAAGCACCTGAACCGCGCCAAACAGCATTACATGGCCAACCTTGGATGCCTTGCACAAACTGAGAATATCATAGGGGTAGAATACGCGAAAAGGCGATATGTACCAGTAGCATCAGCATCAGCAGCATCATCATCATCATCACCATCATCATCATCATCATCGTCATCGTCATCGTCATCATCATCGTCATCGTCATCGTCATCATCGACATCATCGTCATCATCATCGTCAGTCATCGTCACTAACAACAAAACCAACAGCAACACCATGGCCATCTTGGAATATTCCCCGCAAACACAATTTGATGCGCAAAGTGATGATATATTCAAGTTTTCTCCACCACATAATCCAAAAACGCCAAGCCATGAAAACCCAACCATTCACATCCATTGTCTAGCCAGTTTATCCACGTTGGTCCATTCCACAAATGTCATGGGTCCACCATGCGCAACTTTTTGCTGAAATCAATATCTGCATTTCTGGGGCCAAAAAAGACATTGCACTAACCCAACCAAACCAAGGTTTACCATACAATACTATCCTATTATCCATCAACGCGAGAAGAATAAAAGTGGTTAACACAGCTAACAGCATGCCTCATTGTCCAGCAAGAAGGACTCATCCGAGTTCTCCACCAGCTGATGGAAGCTCAAGACTGCCTCGGACCGTGAATTCAACATGGAACACCAAACAAATGGTGTTTGGAAGATATTTTTTCTACTAGATACCTGTATGATCTTTGGTTCGGTTCCATGTTTAGATCTGCAACCCCAAGGTTTAGCATCAGGTGAGGAAGCTGAAGACTTGATGTCTTGCTCCAGTTTTCCCCACGTGTTTCAACTTTGAATCAGAATTCGTTGGTAGGTTTTAACTGTAGAATCACAATTCTTGGATAATAGTTGCAATTTTTGTACCTTATCCACACTTGAATTCATCTTCCCTCTCATTTCACACTCCCTTTTGCAGGTATTTATAGCTCATCCCCCGTTGATACCCTTTGGTAATCTAACATAACTATGGAAAATCACCATGTTATGGCCGGCTCAATCATATAACTGGTCATTTTCAATAGCAAACTGTTAGTTTACCAGGTACTTCTTGTAGACTTTTCATTCGCTGCTGAGCTCTTGAGATACCCCTTCCAGCGCTGCATCCAGGCGTCGTTGTAGGGCTCCACCACGGTGTCTGACACCTTGGGCGATGGAATCACCGAGAAGGTCTCCATGATGCGGTCGGGATACTCCTCGCGGACCTGGCCGAAAGTGGGGCATCAACGGCACCATCGTAGACACCACAACGAATGGGGAGAATGGGGAGACATCCCTTTATAAAAATGATGTGACGTCTGAAACATCGTGCAACATCCAATGCAATGTTTGACCAACAATAAATGGTGCTTTTTACCATTGAACACAGGATTTCACCAATGAACAATGGAGAAATTGGAGTTCTAAACTGACAACAATGGGAATATCGTGGAAATATTACCAGCAATTTGTTCTTTCGGTGTCTGCAAATGGGGTATACCGTATACCGGATGCGCCCCTGTCATGGCTGTAGGGAACATGATTCACCAGTCGATTTTCCAGGATCTTCCTATAATTTTAACGGAAGGAACGCCTCGAAGTGGACCATCCCAACCACAGCTATGTTAGATCGTAATGGACGATAACTAAATAATGATAAATACTGTACATATAAATATACTGTTTTTTATGATGAATACGATAGTGATAGCCTTTGTAGATGGATGATGAATGTATATATATATATATATTTGATAAATCTGTCAATTCTATAAACGTGCCATGTTCCATAGCTATGTTAGACTGCCAGAGTGTTAGTTGGGCTGCTCATTGACTCAGTTTAGGGGTGATTGATTTTGACAACAGCGAGGTTGTCAAAGGCTGGATGATCAACTAGATTCACTAGATGGTGGGACAATGCTGATATGATCGCGTTTCTTGTTATGTTTCTGTTCTACTCAGTTCTAACCTTTAAATCAATCAACATAGGAACACGGTCTGGTTGGCGGCTTCGCCCGTCCAAAAAAAATGTGCCCTTTGCGGGTCATCATCCCAAGCATTATTGAACACAAAAGAATCTTGAAATTACCAAAGTACCATCTAAATGAATGCGTGCATATACATGATTGATAGAATATATATATATATATACCCATCGCATAGAGATCCAAAACATTATATACACTTATCATATCCCACATGTTTCATGGTCAAATCCTCCTATTTTTGCTGCCTTTCCGTGGGACGCTCACCTTGGAGATCAACAAGGTGCCCATCCCTGCGCCGGTGCCGCCGCCCAGGGAATGGCAGAGCTGAAAGCCTTGAAGGCAGTCGCAGCCTCCGAAGGGCAGCCATGACATGGGGGAAAATGGTTAATAGTGGTTAATGGTTAATAGTGGTTAATGATGGTTAATGGTGGTTAATGGTGGTTAATGGTGGCTAATTGGTGGTTAATGATGGTTAATGGTGGTTAATGGTGGCTAATTGGTGGTTAATGATGGTTAATAGTGGTTAATAGTGGTTATATAATAGTGGTTAATAATTGGAATAATGTGGTTAAAACAATGCCATAAACCACCCATGGCTGGGAATGGTAACCATACCACCTGTAAAAATGGTGATGACTGGGGGATGGTTTATTATTAAACACCCCCCCGAACGAAACCATAGTGGATGTAGGGAATTTCCACATTTCATTGGGACCATGCAATTGGGGTGTTTAATATTGGGTGATGTGAGTAAAGCAAAAGTAAACCACCTATATTCTGATGGTTTCTAGCGTTTATGGTGATTTTGGGGATGGCTTACTATTACCAACTTTGCTGATGATTTTTATTGGATTTACTGTGTATAAATATATATATATATATGTATTTGGGGATTTACGGGTGTTGTGGGGATATACGGAGGATTTTGGAGGATTCTATGAAGATTTTGCTGGATGGGTATGTCTCGGATCTTAGGACATTGTTGATAAATATTTATTGGTATGCAATTTGTGTGTATACTACTTTTTGCATTTTTTTTATACCACCGGGATTTAACATGCAGCCATATCGAGCCCCAAAGATTGGGTCTGGAAAATGATCTCTCTCCATCGCCATCTCTAGTGACACTGCCATGGATAAAGCCATGGGTTCCATGTTACATTTAGGGAGTGCAATGGGCCTCTTGGGTAGAATTATTACTAATTTCTAGGACATGGATGGAATGGAAATGCTATGAAATGGTATGAAAGGGCATTTGGGCATATTTTTAAAGAAACCATGTGCAGTACCTATTACCTATTGCTTGTTCAATGGGACTATGCACCACTCTATTAGTTAGCCAGCCAATCGGAAAAGGACATCTTACAGTTTGGAGCCAGTAACGGCATGAGAAGCTACGAGATGTGTGTAGAAATTTGTGCCAACACACTGGAGCCACCATCCAAACAAGTTGATCTAGAAAAATGGATCAACCGCTGCAGTCCCTGCCAATCGTTCAAGTCTAATTGTTTTCTGAGCTCTGCCCAACCGGAATCGCGAGATGGTTTCTCCAACGGTTTGACATCAGCATTTTGGATCATTTTGGTGTGTCAAAGCATGCTTTTCAGTCAGCACCGGTTGCCAACATTTGCCAACATTTGCCAACATTTGCCATCAAAGATCTGCACAGCACCCGCCTTCAGCTTCTTTTCCTCAGACCATGGCTGGTTGCAACGTGGGGGTTGTGATCTGTTGTGATGGTGGCCTCTGAGGAAAGTCATGGCTCAAGACCGTGCAATGGCCATACCAAGCCAAGTTGGATGAACATTCCATGTAGCAAGTGGTCAGAATGCATGATGATCATGACATATCATGACCGACAATTTGGATGGATCTTCGCTATCACATGTCACAGCTCACTTTCAGCCGGCAATTTTTTCCATCATTGAGAACATTATTCATGAATCTAAATGTACAACAAAAGGTCCCAGTTATGATAGACTCCTGATAGACATGTGTAGTTCCCAACAGTTGCCCTCCCCCCCCCAAAAAAAAAATGGGCACCCCAAGAAACCCGGCAGAAGAGGCCTACAGGCTACGGCCTTGAACCAAAATATCCAAGCATCGCACCACATCCAGCACTGAATCGATCAACTCGGCTCCCTCGGTGTAGTGACCCTTCGCCTTGGTCGCAAGATGTTGCAAGGATGCGATGACATCCCTCCCAGACTCATGGGCTCCTACTAAAACTTTGATGAGGATTCAGAATCATGTTTCCCGATTTCAGATGTTTCAAGTCCTCTAGGAAAACCACAAGCTGTAGATTGTTCCGACCGCATGTATCTGGGAGGGGGGGCATCCTTCTTTATACGTTTTACATCGTTTTACAACAAGCACTGCAGCGCAGGGTTGAATTGCAATTTTTCGACCACTGTCTGAGCATGTTCTACCGCAGTCTGCCGTGGTTTCATGCTCACCAACCTGCTTTCTATTGGATCTTAAACCTTAAATTCAACAGGCTTTCAAGTTTCAAGCGGCCTTGAAGCAAACAATGGCAACAAACAATAGCAACTGCAAAGGGGCAGCAGTCTGGCCTTGCTTTCCCATACATGGATGCAACATGATGTGATGCAAAAAATTGCCGTGTTCAACCACCAAAGGAACAGGATCTCAAGACACATGACCTTCAAAGGAGTTCAACTCTTGGTCTTGGTTTGCCAAACAATGGGTACCAGCACTGTTGCTTTCCCCACTCCCAAATTCTACAAACCCATCCTATCCTTGCAGATTTGTGGTGGTACTATTTAGTTGAAGACTATTCCCCCACTCAATTCCAGCACATAAAGCACCAAACTTCCCCTTGACCCAGGGATTTAGGACGATTTTTTGTGGATGTTTCATGATTTTTGGATATTGCTGTTGGACATGAGCATGTCTTGACTCAGTCTTGACCTATCCGACCCATCCCAGAGTGGAGTGGCCCAGTTGTTTCCAGCTCCCGTCTGGCCGAAGACGAAGTTGTCCGGACGGAAGAGCTGGCCGAACGGCCCGGCGCGGACGCTGTCCATGGTACCTGGAGCTCACTGAAAACCCATGGGGTGCTGGTAACTGGGTTGAGATTTGCTGCATAAATTCCATCAGCGCATCAGTTTCAAATATGTTGCATGTATATATATATATATAATTATATGCAATTATAAATTATATATATGATGCAGCCTCCCAGGTCTCCCCCCCCTCCCCCCCCAATGGGTATGGGTATACAGGAGCTATGTTCCCCGGGCCCCCTCTGTGGGTGGGTAGGGGGTGGGGGGGTTAGTAGTAGTTAGTAGTAGTTAGTAGTAGTTAGTAGTAGTTAGTAGTAGGGATGGGTATGGGTATACAGGAGCTATGTTCCCCGTCCCCCCTGTGGTGTGGTGGGGGTGTGGTACTGCGTATATAAAAAATATATACAATAATATATATGCTTATATATATATATGTGAATATATGTATATAGACATGTATATATATATATATGTGTGTATATATATATATATATTTAAATACGAATATGAATATATATATATACATGTATATACATATTTATATATATACATATATATATATACATATTTATATATATACATACAGACATATGTATATATATATATACATATAGGAAGTAGATACATAGCACATGTATATATAACTCCAGGTAGCACGTAGGTACTTTGAGGGAGTATGTGTGCTACGCAGGTCGTCTAAAAGGTAGCATGTACCTAGTAAATGGGAGGCTGGTAGTCAGAATCGCTGCAAACACCTAGCAAATACGAGGCTGGACCTCAGAAATGCTGCCAATAGCTTGCAAATAGAAGAGAAGCGGGGGTGCTACTACCTGGGGACCCATCCCATTCGGGGGGGACCTCGCGGGCGGAAGACGGGATCATATATGTATATATATATATATTATATATATTATATGTTGAATAATGTGATATATCAGAATGAGTTGAATGTGCGTATATGTGCGTATGTGTGTGAAGTTGAATATATGTTGATTATATATGCCAGTGAAATGGGATCAGCTGAGATCACCTCCTTGCTTGAAAAATGAAGTCCCATATTGTCCCATCTCAACAACACGTGGTATACTATTATATATATACATATGCCATGGAAGTCAGAATTGGGATCATCATCCCGGGTCTGAAAAATGATGAGCAAATCCCCAAGTCATCTTCCACAGATTTTAGGGATTCGAGGGCTTAACTGCCTCCATTGCGGCACGACCGGCAGAACTACTCAGAAACCCTTGGGATCCAGGAAAGAACATGAAAGAACAACATCTAGAGGCGCAATGAACAAACGCAACGGACGTTTAGAACTCAATACAAAATAAGTTATAAGCTGGTACAATACTGGACGGGAGAATACAATCAAAAAAACACAAACCATTTGGACATGTTTGGAAGGAAAACAAAGCTAAACGGACAACTATACAACACGCAGCAGCTTGATATCTTTATATATATATATATACATATAATCCTGCGTAAATCTGTTGAAACGTTAGGCAGGCATTTATCCTCGTAATTCCTCGTCGGGACCGCTACCTGAAAGCAATAAACATAGGATCAATAGGCCCCTGGAATTATGAAATCATAAACCCCACAGACTGAAAATATGTAAGTTCTCAAACACAAAAAGAAACAAAATGAACAAAACAGCTCAATAACCAACACAGAATCAACATCACATGTCTGATTATTTGCTTGCCTTGTTTCTGATCATTTTTCTGATTTGTTTTCCTTGCTTGCTATGTTTTTTTCATCGTTTCAAGTTTTTGCCTCCGACCCCTGACCATCCTTTTTAATACGAAATAACGAGGCTCTGTGTGGGCCTTTGTTTTCATAACCCTGCAAGCAACCAACTTGGGAACAAAAACTGTATATTACTGGGACATCTTGGGGCCCCACCTGCCCTAGATTCCATACACACAACACACGCAAATACACGTATGTATATAATTACATGCGTGAGTGCGTGTAGAGCATATACATATACTGTACTGTATCTCTATGAAAGAAAAAATGCAGGTAAAAAGAATGATGCAGTATACACATAGGCACGTGCATATACCATACGCGCATGTACCGGCATTTTTCCAAATATATATATATATATCTATATAACAAAGCAACTTCAACGCAATCTGACGATTGTTCCCTACAATCAAGACACAAAGCCACTGTCTACAATCATCCAACCCATCCAGCTGTTTCCGTCCAAGCATCCAGGCTCCAAATCCATCAAGATGGCTCGGGGCACATAGCGCCCACCAGTGGCTTCGTTAAAGTAGACGTTGATACGTTCCAACTGAAGGTCCGAATCACCTGGTTGATGGCTGGATGGGGTCAAAACTATCCACTGAAAATGAATGGTTTTTAGATCCTCAACATGACAATTCTTGCGGGCGGTCAATGAATTTTCGCCGGGATTTTTGTGGTGCCAAACCGGCCCTTGGGATGAGAGTCAGATTTGCTCCCATCCTGCTACATTGAGCATTGGATCCCTGCTGTGTTCAGCCCAGCTGAGCTTACAATTGGGAAAGCCTTTCCAAACACGTCATCAGCTGGGTATGCAGATGACAAATTATAAATCATACTGATAAATATCATCGGGGGACATTCACAAATCAAACAAAACCCGATTTTTTTTTGGGAAGATTAACCCACGCATAATCACAATCATCATAATCTATCTACCTGTTTCCCTATTGCAAATTCCACTGGGCAATCCCAGAAAAAAAACGCATACCTTTTATATGTTTGTTATAGTGTATTTCGTCTCAAAATCCCTTTGCCCATCACCACCACATCACCATCATGATCAGCATAATCACTATGATCATCACCATAATCATCAGAACAATGATCACTTGAGTTTTAGATATTTTAGTGGGTTGAGTGCAAGTATGGTCAAGTGGATGAAATTCCAGCTCCAACTCCAATAAACGCAGCATGTACAATCCATGGTCACACAATCCAAGCGTATAGAATTTGAATTGGTTATATATATATTATATGTGTGCGTGTGTAAATGTATATGTATTTAATAACACTAACCCCATATTTTAATCCTTAGCCTTAGCATTTCACAACCACCCCAGGATCGTCTGAGTGACCGTGGTATGTCCCTGTGGGGTCAATGCCGTGCTCGTCTGCAATGACTTCCCAGAACTTGGCGCCAATCTGGTTGCCGCACCTAGGAACCCGACAAAAAACGTGCAGCCTACCTCGAAGAGACTGGTGAGTCCTAGAAACAGGGAGTGGCTGATGAAGATTATAGGAACTAAGGAGCATATAGAAACTTACAATCATACCAATCATGTGGCAAATCTATGAACATGAAAGAAACCGTTTTTGTCCATACTTTTGGTGAATTCATTGGGCCGGTGACCGCTGCATAAGTGGCAAATCATAGCCGTTGATCGGTCTTTAAGGCTGCCAAGCAGCTGACCACCCTGGACGTGCACGAGCTCACGCATGGTGTTGAGAAGCGGGGGAAAGAAGAGTCCAATACAGGCACGGTTGTGCAATTTGAGGGTTGCTTGAGCCAAAAGAAAACATGCACAGCGTGTACATGTAATATTGAAGCATTGTTTTTCTAGTTGCAAGCCATGCATCCACCCAAGCCTTCAACATCACCAACTTGGTGGGTTTCAAACTGGCTTTAACTTGCTGGGCTTCACATATGCTAAAACCCATAGCTGCCGTATTCAAATCTATCATGTTCTATCCCCGTGTTCGAACATGTCTTAAATCACAAACCAAATCCCTGTGAAGTATGTGAAATCATCATGTTGGCTGGTACAGTTTTGGCCCTTTAAAATTATTTATCAGTTACAACTGGTTATAATCTGGATTATACATGATTATACATTCTACAAATGGGGTTACTTCAGTACTTAAAACTGGTATTTCGGGCCATAACTGTAGTTTTATGATGACCGCCTCCAGCAAGTCGTTGATGTCTACGTCCCCCAACTCCTCCGTCACGCCCTTGTCCTGATGGCTCGGGGGGCTCACAAACTCCATGTATGGTGTATAAACCTACAAGGCGAGGCTTGCCACTGAGGTAAAACTGGTTTATAAACTTGAATCTGTATAGATATATATATATATATGGTCCAGCGTTCCTACCCCCCTCCCCCCCCCGCCATGGTCATGGGTCAGCCATAGTACTGTCCCCTCCCCCCCGGTGGTGTGGTGGGGGTGTGGTACTGTCCCCCTCCCCTCCTGTGGTGGGGTGGGGGTGTGGTTATATATATATATATATAGACTGTAAATATATATATATACACATGTAAATCTGTATGTATGTATGTATGTATGCATGCATGTATGTATGTATGTATAGATATATATTCATGTAAATGTATGTGTCTATAGCGTATACCTATATATATATATACATATAGGAAGTAGATACATAGCACATGTATATATAACTCCAGGTAGCACGTAGGTACTTTGAGGGAGTATGTGTGCTACGGAGGTCGTCTAAAAGGTAGCATGTACCTAGTAAATGCGAGGCTGGTAGTCAGAATCGCTGCAAAAACCTAGCAAATACGAGGCTGGACCTCAGAAATGCTGTCAATAGCTTGCAAATAGAAGGGAACGGGGTGCTACCTGGGGACCCATACCATTGGGGGTGGGGGTAGGAACACGGAACACGAGACCATATATAACTATAGTTATAACATAGACCCGGGCAAGCCGGCGGCGGAAGTTTCCCAAACATAAATGACCTATAGTTCAAAGACAACCTGTCCCGACCGTGTCCTTCCCTCGACACTCCACACCGCACACTGCACACTGCACTCTTCGCACTCCAAACTTCAAGCTTCACACTCCACACTTCACACTTCAAACTCCACACTTCTCACTTCTCACTGCTTCCTTCACACTCCAAACCTCACACTTCACACTTCACACTGCGCTCTTCGCACTCCAAACTTAAACTTCACACTCCACACTTCACACTTCACACTCCACACTTCACACTTCTCACTGCTTCCTCCACACTCCAAACCTCACACTTCACACTGCGCTCTTCGCACTCCAAACTTAAACTTCACACTCCACACTTCACACTTCACACTCCACACTTCACACTTCTCACTGCTTCCTTCACACTCCAAACCTCACACTTCACACTTCACACTGCGCTCTTCGCACTCCAAACTGAAACTTCACACTCCACACCTCACACTCCACACTTAACACTTCACACTTCACACTTCTCACTTCTCACTGCTTCCTTCACACTCCAAACCTCACACTTCACACTTCACACTTCACACTGCGCTCTTCGCACTCCAAACTGAAACTTCGCACTCCACACTTCACACTCCACACTTCACACTTCACACTTCTCACTTCTCACTGCTTCCTTCACACTCCAAACCTCACACTTCACACTTCACACTTCACACTGCGCTCTTCGCACTCCAAACTGAAACTTCACACTCCACACTTCACACTCCACACTTCTCACTTCTCACTTCCCACTGCTTCCTGCACACTTCACACTTCACACTGCACTCTTCACGCCCCACACTTCACACTGCTCTAAACCTACGTGCAACCAAAAAAACACTAGTGCCAAAATGTAGAAAATCTGCTAACAAATCCAGGTCGCAGCTTTCATGCAGCCACTCCAAGACGATTTCCGAGATCCAGCTGCAAAAGACAATAGTATTACGAATGCAGCCACAGCACCTGCACACTTCACACTTCACACTGCACTCTTCACGCCCCACACTTCACACTGGTCTAAACCTACGTGCAACAAAAAAACACTAGTGCCAAAATGGAGAAAATCTGCTAACAAATCCAGGTCGCAGCTTTCATGCAGCCACTCCAAGACGATTTCCGAGATCCAGCTGCAAAAGACAATAGTATTACGAATGCAGCCACAGCACGAAGCAACCTTGACGCAGCCATTACAATGCGATCTGCAGAGACTGAGTTGCAAAACACAATAGAACTACGCACAACGGCGTCGGAAATTGTAGCTCCAAAACCGGATCTCGACGCCAGAGCGAAAAAAAAAGACGATTTTGAAGCACTTTTTAAAAGGATTTTTAGAAGGAAAATCACTAGCGCCAAAATGGAGAAAATCTGCTGACAAATCACTGTCGCAGCCTTCATGCAGCCACTCCAATACGATTTACGAAGTCCAGCTGCAAAAGACAATAGTATTACCAATGCAGCCACGGCACGAAGCAACCTTGACGCAACCATTTACACTGCGGGAACGATCCTACAGTTGCAAAGCACAATGGAATTCCATCGGCAACTCATCCACCAGCACCACTTGCAATCCCATTTACATTGCGGGAACGATCCTACAGTTGCAAATCACAATGGAATTCTGTCGACCACAAATGCACGAAACACAGGTGACACCCCATTTACAATGCGGAACCGATCCGAGAATGATCCGACCATGATCCGAGACCGATCCGACCACAGACGAGACCGTCTCGCAACCGTCGCACCGCAGAGGTAGATCATCGACGTTCGGGGACGCACTTTGTATGGAAAAACATAGTGTCAAAGACGGCAGCACACGAAGTCTGCCTCCAAGGATCAGCAGCGCAAGCCTTTTCGAAAGGCCAGCAGTGGCGTAGTGCCAGTTCAGGCTGTTACAAGCCCACCCTTGAGGATGGAAAGTGGCAGCGGTTCAGCTGCAGCTAAAGAGGTTTCAACCCCATGCACATGGTATGTACATGTTGTATGGAGTACAACTCACACGGGCCATTGTAGCCCTTGTAAAAAGAAATGGGCCTTTAGCCCCTAATTAACAACTTCATCTACATCGGCTATCCAGCCATCGATGTCCTCTTGGAGTGTTGTTCCACCCAGAGGCCCAATGTGGGGCGTCAGCTCCCGCACAGCGCAGTCTTGGCAGGGATCGTAGATCCTTGGGCTCCCATTCAGCAGCCTGTAGCACTGCTCGTCCTGGTGGTAGACCACGCCTCGAGGCGTAGCATAGATCGCCGCATTGGCATGTTCTGTATGCCAGTTTCGGCGCAGCTCATCGGTGGCCAGATGCATCACAATCCGACCTTGCCTCAAGTAGGCTCGCAGGTCTTCATTGGCACCAGTGACTTCGTCGCATCGTTCTTGGAGGATGCGGTACTGTTCAGTTCTGTAGTTGAACTGATGCTCCAGATTGTGTATTCGTCCTTGGGCAGCTCGAAGTCGCTGTCTCATGGTGTTGAGCTCTTGGTTGTGTCCAGCCACCAGTTGGTTGTGGCCAGTGACCATTTCATCTCGCAGCGTCTCCAGCTCCAGGATGCGCTCATTGGCCTCGTCCAGCAGTCGCTGTAGGCGATCAGAACGGACGTGGCGGCGGCGCAGAAACTCTGCACGGCATGCGGCCCAAGCCACAGCTCCACCAAACATGTAGGTGGTCCAGGCAGCTACCAGGAGAAGCACAGCCCAGATTGCGGCTGTTGTCATCCAGCTCGCAGGGTGAACTTCGGCAGCAGGTTCAGGTTGAGCAGCAGAAGTTGCGATGGGGAACATCAGCAGGTAGATCCAGAGCACCAAACGCAGGAGCTTGTCCACATACTGCAGGATCGGCTTGAAGGTCTCCTTCGGAGTCTCCACGGTCTCCAGGAAGTAGCTTCGCTCTTCTACGCTGTAGGGCTCCACAGGCACAAAGGTCAGGGTGTCCACGTAGCTGATGTTCAGGCTAAAGGCAAAACCTTCTGTAGGAAAAGTTGGGTCCTCCTCAGGACCAGCAGCATCTTCGTCAGGAAGTGCTCGAGGTTGATCGGCCTTGGCCAGGGTGAACTCGGTTCGGCTTTTCTCTCTCTCCTCCTTGGTCTTGCGCTTGGCTGCTGTGTAGTCGGCGTCGTAGGTGAACTTGATCTTGCCATAGCGCAAGCGGTCAGCCAGCAGCTGTCTCGTCCCTGTTTTGGTCAGGCTATCCGCGTATTGTCTCTCAGAAGACGTCCAGCGGAAAGTGCCATTGAGAGCGCCCAATCGCTCCTTCAGGACTAAGATCTCCAGGCCGGTGCGTTTGTCCACCAAATTCCCAGAGAGTCCTTCTCGGTGAAAGGAGTCAAAGAGGGCCTTTGCGTCCGTGATCATAGTCGGGGACAAAGAGCTCAGCATAGCCAGTAGTTCTTGAAGAGGAGCTCGAGGGTGTAGTAGGTGTTCCCAAAAGCGGCAGGCAAACTCTAAAGCATCACATGCTTGTCCAGCTGCTTGTGCTTCAGCCGATAGGGAACTTCTTGCTACCCTCGGCAGCTTAAAACTCCGCCAATCCACCAGGTGGTACTCGGACTCCACGCCTTCGAAGGTTGAAGACGGCACCAGCATCAGCAGAAAACCTCCTTGTGAGGACCCGTCGCGCCTGATGGCAAACGAGGCGTCAAACATTCCAACCATCCTCAGCTTGTCAGCTGAGCAAATGTTGCTGTAGCGAAGGGAGACATCTTTGTTGTCCTTGGCAAACTGCAACAGTTTGTTCGCTTCTGTGATGTTGTGCATCATAGAATCGCCCATTTGCCCGGCAATCAGCGAGGCTGAGCAGCAAAGGTGTGGTTGGCTTTGCACAGCAGGCCATTGGAGGGATCCCAGAAGACCTCGTAGTCGAGAAACTTCAGCAGGAGACAGTTCAGCTTCAGGTCCACGCTTTGCCACGGTGATTGGCTTCACCTTGGAGAGGTAGGTGCTGTGGTTGACCATCCATGTAGAGTCTTCTCGTTGAAGGGTGGCACCACAGTAGGTCAGTTCCTTGTCGGTCTGCCATTCACGAAAGTTGAACACTTCACGGAGTTCAGTTCGAACTCGGCAGTATGTTGCTGAGTTTTCACTGCCAGCACCCAACATGTCGTCAACGTGAAGGCAGATGATGCAGCACAGCTTCTCAGGGCCCAGCAGGTGGTCTGTAGGAGTTCCATCACCAGAGCAGTCCTTGTGGTCGGTCTCGTAGAGGAGAAAGCAGCAAGGATCCAGGCAGTGTTGGCGAAATCCAAGGGACTTCA